AAAATGGGTTAATTCAGGAATAGAAAATCACAATTCAGAACCCACAGGTTACAGCAAAACCATAGGCATGTCTACAGAACAAAGAGGAAACCTTGATGGAGAAAAGGGAGAAGTTGGGAAGGCTATTAGGATCAAGCCCATTGGTGGAAACTGGGAGTTGGAAGTGTGGTGGCTTCTCATTGGCTGAATGCTGACTCTCTCATTGGCTTGGCTGTTGCTGGGGGAGTAGGAAAGCTTTCTTCCTGTTGACGGGGTAGTGAAGTATGGGCTTCTTCCTATAGAAGAAGCAATTTACCAGTCTTAAATTGTGAGAGCTCCCCCTTCTGGCCTTCTGGTTCCATTTTAAATGAAGTTACCTTTTACCATTTTTTTAAAAAAGATTTTATTTATTTATTTGACAGAGATCACAAGTAGGCAGAGGGGCAGGCAGAGAGAGACGGGGAAGCAGGCTCCCCACTGAGCAGAGAGCCCGATGTGGGGCTCAATCCCAGGACTCTGGGATCATGTCCTGAGCCGAAGGCAGAGGCTTTAACACACTGAGCCACCCAGGTGCCCACCTTTTACCAATTTTAACACAGCTTAACAATTTGAAAATGGATGCTTGAGGGAGCAGGAAGTGCATGGGGGAGAGTTCCCCATGGCTGCTTTTTGTAGAAGCATATGTTGTTTAAAGTACACTTACATGTTTCCTTTTGGGAACTATGCTCATTTTACCATTATAAAGATATAATTTCAATGTAGTTTAAAACATTTTAAAAGAAGAGGGGCACCTGGCTGGCTCAGTTGTGCATAGAGCCTACTTAAAAATAAATTAAGACATTTTAGGGGCACCTGGGTGGCTCGATGGGTTAAAGCCTCTGCCTTTGGCTCAGGTCATGATCCCAGGGTCCTGGGATCGAGCCCCGCATCTGGCTCTCTGCTCCACAGGGAGCCTGCTTCCTCCTCTCTCTCTCTCTGCCTACCTGCGATCTCACTCTGTCAAATAAATAAATAAAATCTTAAAAAAAATAAATTAAGACATTTTAAAAGAAGAAAGTCATTATAGTAGTAAGGTTGGGCCAGAAATAATAAAGGCCTGAAGTAGGATGTTGTGGGGATGGCAAGAAAAGGATAGTTCAAGATTTCGTGCAGGTAGAATAGACATTATCTGGTTGACCCTGTAGCTGTGGAGCTGGAGAAGTCAAGCCTGAGCCTGTGAGGTTGTGAGTGGGGCACTAAACAGAAATGAAAACCATCCAGATAAAGCAGATGATGGAGGGAAAGAAGATGGTGAGATTGTGGGTTTGGGATGTTTTGAGTTTGAAGATCCAACGGGACAGGGAGGAAAAGACCAGCTGGAACTGTCTGAGCAAGGGTTTGTGTCTGAATCAATGGCGGAGGGTTATGTGGCAGGGCACAAGTCCCCATGACACAGACCACAGAAACAGATCTTGCTGACTGAGCTCATGTCCTAAAACTACCCAGCGGAGATCCACGTAGAGAAATGAGCTGTGCTTCTCTAGACAGTCTTATTCTTCCAGCAAAGCACCCACAGCTGACTTGGAGCAGTGGAAGCTTTGGTGCAGATACCCGGAAACGACACATTTTAATCTCTGCCCCCTTTTTATTAACTTGTTTATTCAAATGTTGGGAAAGAAAACAACGAATTTCGCTACAATTACAATTTTAAGAAGCCTTGAGCATTTAGTGAAAGCGGATGCGGGCTGGAACAATCGGGAAAAGGCATTAGGAAGTGTGGGATTTAGATGCCCAGAGGAGAAAAAAGTACATTTCCGGCAGTTGGGGAATTAGAAGGAAGTAGTCAACTTGGGCCTTGCTCGGTCAAGAGCTTGAAGACTGAACAGGAAGAGCAAACTGAGTAGAGTTTTTGTTGTTGTTGTTTAAAGATTTTTATTTATTTATTTGACAGATTACAAGTAGTCAGAAAGGAAGGCAGAGAGAGAGAGAGGAGGAAGCAGGCTCTCCGCTGAGCAGAGAGCCCGATGCGGGGCTGGATCCCAGGACCCTGAGACCCTGAGACCATGAACTGAGCCGAAGGCAGAGGCCTTAACCCACTGAGCCACCCAGGCGCCCCTCAGTAGAGTTTTGTCTACAAGAGGAGTCAACAAAAATATCAGAGCAGGAAACTGATAGTTACATTAACTTAGTCTGTTCAACTTTTTTCTTTCTTTTTAAATTTGTTTATTATTTTTAAGTAAGTTTTACGCCCAAGGTGGGACTTGAACTCATGACCCCCCTGCGATCAAGAGTTGCATGCTCTACTAACTGAGCCAGCTAGGTACCCCCCGATTCTCCCATTTTAGATCTCTGTCTCACCAACACCAGGGCTGGGTTCTAGCCTATGGTGGCCCCAAGCCCTGAAATGATTACAGTCCCTATTCTCATGTGCAATTAGGAGCTTTTTTTGAAATAACAAAATTTTCCAAAATGTGTTTCTTAATGTTTTGGAGTCCTTACTCTGTGTGTCATCTCCTGTTAGGTACCTGGTCCTACAAGTGTCCATCCCATTTGTCACCTAGTATGTGCCTCTCGAATCTGTCTCCCATGATCTTATTACATTTGGGTTCCTTCTAAGTGGTCACTCCAAGCATCACACGCTGTGACCACGGTGATCTCTTCCTTTGCCACTCTGATCTCTTGATACTTTCCACCTCAACACCTCTGAAGTTTTAGGTCTGTTGTCCTGAATTTACCAACTCGGCCCTGCTGCTCCTTCTGCCGAGAACATACATCTCTCATTTCTCTGCCTAGGGAAAGCGCTACTTATCTTTTCACAATCAACTCAAATGCTCTGTCTTCTGAGGTTGCTCCTAATCCTCCTAGAAGAAAAGACTACTGAAGAAGGACATTTCTCCCATCTCTGCTAAGGGTTCAGAGGCGCCTCCATAGCGATGGTGTCTGACCTGGAACTTAACACTTTACTGGGGTTGGGGGAGGGGGGATACTCTCACCTCAAAATGAGAAGGAGAGAAGGGCCTGGCACTGGCATGTGCCACGGCTTTCAGGGACACCTCAAAGTCTAGCTCTGTTCAAGGACAGGCTGGAAGGTAGGTACATTCTGAGGTCAGTGATCTTTGCACCAAAGGGGAGGATTTACTAGAGAGAGAATTATGGAGCACTACGTGGTGCAGTCTGCTTGGAGAAACGGCTGGAATGTCCTCACTCTCCCGGCCTTCAGTGCTGACTTCCTACTGTGCACTTTGCAGAGCCAGGATCACAGTCCTGTCCTACTTGGGCCTCTTATTTGCTCAGGGCAGGCTCTCATTTTCTCTCCTCTGCAGCTCCCAGTACAGGGCCCTGAACGCTGGAAGTGCCAGCAAAGGCTACCCGAATTAATGGGTATATTTTTAATAGGTACGCCCTTGAATATATTTTTCCAAAGAAGCTTGTCTATTATCTTTTTCCGCCAAGCTCCTAAAAACAAGCATCATACTCATACCCAGGTCTCAACCTCACTCTCTTCCAGAAGTTAACTTTGGGGTGAGCAATACTGAGGCTCCAGCGGTCCTTCAGCAGAACCTTCGCGGGGATACGGTCCTGGGTTTCTTCCCGCCAACGCCTCCTCCCTTCCGCCCCACCCGCGCATCCCCGGGCGTGGCCGAGCGCGGCGCCTTTAAGGAGGGGGCGGAGCACAAGTGGAAAGACAAAGCCCCTGGCCGCGCGCTCCCCCTCCCCCTCCGGCGCACCACACGGACAGTAGTGCCCGGATGTCGGTGTCGCCGTCGGTGACAGATGGCGCAGTGTCTGTATATGTTAAGGGGCTTCTCTAGCCTGACCTCTTTGAATTCCAGGCCTTTCAGTCCCCCGCTGTCCCCCATTTTCAACTCCGCCGCTGGAGGCCCTTAGGCCTCACAACAGCGCTTACATAACGTGACCTTTCACCTCTTCATACTGCCCTCTAGTGCGCTGCAACCCAACTACACGGCCGGGAAAGGGGGCGGGACTCAAGCGCCAGAGCGGCAGCTCCCCTGAGCCAATAGACTGTGAGCCCTGATCAGCTCTCCGCCTATTGGAGCATTCGCCACCGGCGCCACAGGGGAGCAAGTTAGTGTGTGCGCTGGCCGGGCGGGGGGGAGGAGGGGAATCTCCCGCCATTTTTCAATAATTTCCTCCGGTGCAGCTGAGGAGGAGTCGTGACTGCCGAACGCGGGGACCCGCAGCGAAGGTTGGGCCGGAGGCTGCCGGGCGGCGCAGCGGTGTGCGTGGGAGTTCCGTGTCCTCGCGTCCCGTTGCATGGCCCTCGCGCGGCCGCGCCAGCACTGAGGGAGCCGAGTTCGCGCCGCCCTCTCACCCCTCCCCTCCCCCACCCCACCCCCGGGAACCAGGCGCTCGCTCCGGGCCGCGGGGCCTAGTGCTGCGCCGCGGGCTCGCCGAGGAGCCGCCGCCTTCCGGGCCGCAGTCTCCGCCGTTGCCACCGCCGCGATGGCGCCGCTTCTGGGCCGCAAGCCCTTCCCGCTGGTGAAGCCCCTTCCCGGCGAGGAGCCGCTCTTCACCATCGCGCACACTCAGGAGGCCTTCCGCACCCGGGAGTATCCTTTCCAGCGCGGCCGCCGGGCCGCCCGCGGGGTGGGGCGGGGTGGGGCGGGGTGGGCCGGGGGGCTCGCCGGGGCCGGGCGGGCCGCGCAGCCAGCGCCGGTGGCAGCTGTCAGCGCGCCGGGCGCCGGCGGGCCTGCATCCCGAGCCGGAGCTCGAGCCCGCCGTTCCGCGGGGGTGGGGGCGCGGGCCGGCCCGGAGCCCCGCGCCCTCCATCCTTTCCCCTGGCTCCGCACTTTGTCCCCGGGCCTCGCTTTCGACCAGCGGCGCCCCTGCCCCCGGGTGGCTTTAGGCCCGAAGCACGGACGGGAGACGGCTTTCCTTCTGCTGCGTTTTTCTTTCCTTTTAAATTAAACCTTCAACTTAAGTTTTTGAAATTGTACCCACGCGGCCTCGTGATCCGGCTTGTGCAAGATTTTTTTTTTTTTTTGTACGTTTTTACCCGGATCTCCGCGGGGGCTCTTGTGTTGTGTTTTGTTTTCTCCCCTCCTCCGGAGTGGAGACCTGAGGCTGGTGATGAGCTGACAAGACCGTGAGGCGCGTCACCAAGAGCGGATTCCCAGACTTAGGGGAAGGGCAAGGAAAAGTTGTCTCGGAGGAGCCTGCCTTCCCCGGCTCGCCCAGGTCTGAAATGCTGACGGCCGAAGAGGCGATCGGCACGCATTGGACAAACACCGAGGCATGCTTCAAGTTTTCATGTTGCATTTCAGGAATGGGAGACTGGTGTTTTCCAGAAGACGCACCCTCTTCTGATGGCTGAAGGTTCCTTGCACAAGCTCGGTCTTTCCGTTGTATGACTTTGATTTACTTTTTTTCTTTTATGGATGCCGGATTTGAAGCTTCAGTGTAAAAAAAGTAGATTCCCGAATCACGCTTTTTTTAGACAAAGCTTCAAGGCCGAAGGCCACTGTATTACGGAGTTTCATCAGCCCTTTCCTTGGGAAGCGTTGGGTTTTTTAGTTTCTCTCTGCTTCCTTGCCCTCCGTATGGGAGGAGGCGCCCATGCGAGCGATGTCATTTGATTTCATGTCTCTTTGATCCTCTCTTTAATGCAGTCTTGTACAAGATAACCTCATTCTTGTTCCAGTGCGGTTTGTGGAGTTGGATGTTTACGTACAAAAGGACCCGGAAAGTGGGCCCGTGCTGTTAGGAAGGCTCTTGGAGAAAGACAGCCGCAGTAGCATCTTGTAGCTGAAATGGATCTCGGGGATGGTCAGGTTCTCCTGCCTCCTTTGCCAGGTGGGCCCAGAGGGTTGAGGTTGACTTGTTAAAGGTCAGACACTGAAACGATGAAAGTCAGGGGTAGGATGCAGTGCATTTTCTACCTTATCCCTATAAGTAGATCCAGAAAAGAAGGCAAGTTCCTTGTGGTGGTTTGAGGGGAGGTGCCTTTCAGGGACGGGTTCAGGTGGTAATGCGGTTCTTTTTCTTGTCCTGTTAGGACTTTCAGAAAGCTTTGGAGAAGTACTGCACCTCTGCTGAGCACAGCATTATTCTAAGGGTGTCCTCCTTTTTTATTTTTATTTTTGTTTATTTTTTTTTTTAAAGATTTTATTTATTTAGTTGGCAGAGACAGACACAGCAAGAGAGGGAACACAAGCAAGGGGAGTGGGAGAGGGAGAAGCAGGCTTCCCATGGAGCAGGGCGCGGATGCGGGGCTCCATCCCAGGACGCTGAGATCAGGACCTGAACCAAAGGCAGACGCTTAACGACTGAGCCACCCAGGCGCCCCTTATTTTAATTTTTTGAGATATTTAAAAACATCGGTGGGGTAAAAAAGTTACTGTAGGAATCTGCCATATCCTTTTAAAACATTATTTAAATACCATTTTTTGAACACTTGATGGGTACTCACTAATACTATCAGATGTTTATTTTTCATGTCTGGTTCTAGTGTAGCATGTGAAACACGCGGTAGAGACAAGTTCAGAGTCTGGTAGGTATTGAGCCATGTAAAAAATGGTTATAGGTGGTTAATTTAGAACTGGCAGCCCTGGCCTTTTTGTATTCTTTACTGAAATCATTGAAATGTAGTCCTGTATTGGAGGAGGTTCTGTTAACAATGACAATAGAAAATGGAAACCTGAAACTTTTTAAGAGTTAGGTATTTAAAAAAAAAAATTCTTCATTAAAAAAAATCTCCTATGCTGGTATTTAGAACCCTTTTTAACAAAGGAGTTCTTAAATTGCGTTGCATAATGAGGGGGAAATTGCTTCCTTGGGAATTTCTACAAGTGCACGCACTTCAAGGATGCTTTTAAACAATTGTACTGTGTGGTTCGCAGGTTATTATATTTATTAGGCTCTTAGTGATTTCACAGAGAACAGGTATGTGGTTGGTTAACAGCTGCATTTGAAGTATGTTCTTTCTGCTTCTTAATTTATATTTACAATTCTGTTTTTAATAGAATTTGATACTTTAATTTTCTCCTAACATTTACTTTTGATTGCATGTATATGCAATAGCAAATCAGTGAGATGTTTTATTAACTTAACGCTGTGAGTGTTGGTATGTTCTTTGAAGGCATTATTGTCCCTCCTCATTAAACTTACAGTGGTAGCTAGGAATGATGCACACATTTAATGACTGAGTTTTTTATACATTGATGATTATGTTTATTATATTACAGCTTTGAATCTATGGTACAAAAGTTGCTTCCTGGGTTAGTCCTAAGGCAGAACACTGGATCTTCCTTGGTGAGATTAACTTTATCAGAATCATTCTTGATGAGATTATCTGACAACAGGATAATCACAGTGGCTAAAGCAAGATGGGTTTTGAGGGGGAACGGAAGCTACACGCAGCCTGCTGTAGGCTGGTGTTTTTGTTGTATAGCTTTAACTGTCCTCCTCCCTAAAGCTTAGAAACAACTGCTTCAAGTAATCTTTGTAGCCTCAATATATGAGAGCTTTTAAAAGGTGTGATGAGGAGGGGTTGTAAGAACCCAGTTAATCTGGCAGTAGGCAAGAGTGAGTAGAGCATGTTTTAAGAGTTGGAGTTAAATTGTAGTTGCTAGCCAGGATTTTTTACTGGACGTTGGAATAGTGAGTTTGTATGTTGATTTTTATAATTTAATTTCTTTAAAGTTACACTAAGTGAGAGTTGCTTTTCACTTGATGAAGACTGTTCCAAAGACAAAATAAAAAGCAGATTTTGAGTTGGTGCTTTGTCATTTCACATGGAACTCTGAGGGTTATAGTTATACTTGTTTAACCTCCATACTTTTCTGGGCCACTTCCTTTCAGGCTATCAAGTACTTTATTGAAAGAAACAGTCCTTACAAGGCTAAAGAGAACAAAGAAGCAGCATATTGTGGTAAGGAGATAGCTCTTGAAATCACGAAAAAGTAGGTGCATAATGAGATATATAGGATTTGAGAATATCTTGTCGTTTATAACTTACACAACCTTTGGAGAATTGCTTTGACATTTTCTCTGCAATTATATGTGCAACAGTGGCTGGAACATGAAAACCTCAATTGGCATTTGCTCTGAGTAGTTATTTGAGAGTAAGTGACTTATTTTGGTAACCTAAAATCTGAAATAGGATTTAGAGGCAGCTGACCGAATATCCTTGTAATGGGCTTTTTTTCCTCTTGATTTTGACTTTTTTTCGTTCTTTCTCCGGTAATAACCAGAACAGAGTTACATAAACTTAAAAATACCCAATGTTGAGGTTGTAGGAATTCTAGTTTTGAACTTTTGAGATTAATCTTAGATGACTAGTCAATTAAAATTTTTATTGTTAGAGGGCATTCATTGATTCCTAGATGTAAACCTTATTAGGTAGATAGTGTTGTCCAATAGAAACATAATGTGCCAAATAAATAAATAAAATTAAGAAAAAAAGGTGGGGGACGCCTGGGTGGCCCTGTTGGTTAAATGTTTGCCTTTAGCACCGTCCTGATGGGTCCTGGGATCGAGGCCCGCATCACGCTCCTTGCTCAGCAGAGAGCCTGCTGCTCCCTCTGCTTGTGCATGCACGCTCTCCCTCTGAAAAATAAATAAATAAAATCTTAAAAAAAAAAAAAAAAGGAAATACAATGTGAGCCATGTGGGATTAAAGGTTTTCTAGTGGCCACATGTGGAAAAAAAGGTGAAAAAGAGGACAGACATAACTTTTCTTATTCCAGGACCCAGGCTGAAGGAGCAGTCCTTGTCTCTCAACGTGCTTTTCTAGTGGCCAAAAGACCTGGAGAACACCAGGATGGCTTTTTCAGCTGCTTGGTGGTGGCATCTCTCCTGTCTGTCCACATCTGTTCACCGAAGCAAGTCATGTGGCCGAGCCTAGCATCAGTGGGGAGGGGGTGGGGGATGGGCACTACTCCTGTCTGAGGCCTTGCAAGCCACAGGGCAGAGGATGAAGTAGAATCCTTTTTCTGGAACAGAGGTGACTGTGTGGAAAGAAGAGTACAATCTACCCTATTTCAGGGTTCAGGGAGTGTTTCCTGGGGGAAGTTACTTCTCAGTTGAGATCTACAGTATAAGCAGAATGTTGTAGTTGGATAAAGAATAGAGGACTGTGCTTTTTGAAGAGTTTGTGAATTTGAAGGTTCTTGAATTTTAATACTTGGAAGAGGTTTTCTGTAGCTGGAGTGAAGAAGTGGGAATGGAGATAGAACTGCCAAGTGGGGTTGGACATAGATCCTTGGCAGACAGGTTGAGGAATTTGGTCTTTGTCTTAAGTTTATGGGAAGTGGTTTATAAATCCGAGCAGGGTAGACGCTGACTCTTAGGAAGCTGTCTGTGGCTGCCGTGTTGAGCATGGATCTGCAGCCTGAAGACAAGCGGCCATGAAACTAGGGAGGCCATTATGCAGTAAACCAGGCCACAGGTCTGGAGGTCTGCACAAATTTACTACCCCTTGAGGAGTACAGTAGATTTCAGAAATAAGTTAGGGAGATTTTTTTTTTTTTTAAAGATTTTATTTATTTATTTGACAGACAGATCACAAGTAGGCAGAGAGAGAGGAAGGGAAGCAGGCTCCCCGCTGAGCAGAGAGCCCGACAAGGGACTCGATCCCAGTCCCAGGACCCTGAGATCATGACCTGAGCCGAAGGCAGCAGCTCAACCCACTGAGCCACCCAGGCGCCCAAGTTAGGTAGATTTGATAGGATTTGGTGACTGGGGAGGAAACAAGGATAATGTTGTGGTTGTCATTTGGTTAGTGGGTCATTCTCAGATAAGAAGAGAAACGCTGGAAGAGGGGGCTGGAAGAGGGGCTAGTCGTTTTTTTCCTTTTAGTTTTGCCTGGGAATGGGTGGGGAGGGTAGGAAGTGAGTGTTTAGTTTGGAAGTTCTTCTGTTGAGTTGCTGTGCATATATCGGAATGGAGGTGTCTGTATTGCTGGTGTATTCTAGGGGCCTGGAGTTCAGAGAGGAGACTGAGCTGGTGATAGAAATTCTTGGCAGATAGGTAATAGTTGAAGTTAGGGGAATGGATGCAGTCAGTCCCCCAGAATGAGAATGCTCTTCTGATAGTGAATTTTCAAAGGAAGGTGAGAAAGATAAGTCTCAGAGTAGGAAGCTCTTTTATGGTTTGCAAAAGCGTAATCAGTAAAAAATTATTTGGTATTTAAGGGGCGCCTGCGTGGCTCAGTGGGTTAAATAAAGCCTCTGCCTTCAGCTCAGGTCATGGTCTCAGGGTCCTGGGATCGAGCCCCCCATCGGGCTCTCTGCTCGGGAGGGAGCCTGCTTTCTCCCCCTCTCTGCCTGTGTCTCTGCCTACTTGTGATCTGTGTCTGTCAAATAAATAAGTAAAATCTCAAAATAATAATAATAATAAACTGCCTTGAGGGGCGCCTGGGTGATTGAAATCTTTAAAAAAGGGACGCCTGGGTGGCTCAGTTGGTTAAGCAACTGCCTTCAGCTCAGGTCATGGTCTCAGGGTCCTGGGATCGAGCCCCACATCCCCACATCAGGCTCCTTGCTCGGCAGGGAGCCTGCTTCTCCCTCTGCCTCTGCCTGCCACTCTGTCTGCCTGTGCTCACTCTCTCTGACAAATAAATAAATCTTAAAAAAAAAAATCCTTAAAAAAATTTGGTATTTAAATACGTATTTGAGGAAAAAAGCTTCTCCCTTTTTTTTCTTAAAAGAATAAAAATCGGGACGCCTGGGTGGCTCAGTTGGTTGGGCAGCTGCCTTCGGCTCGGGTCATGATCCCAGTGTCCTGGGATCGAGTCCCACATCGGGCTCCTTGCTCATCGGGGAGCCTGCTTCTGCCTCTGCCTGCCATTCTGTCTGCCTGTGCTTGCTCTCTCTCCCTGTCTCTCTCTGACAAATAAATAAATAAAATCTTAAAAAAAAAAAAAAGAATAAAAATCATGGAACTTGCTCAACAAAATCTTGATTGGTGGAGTGATTTTCAGTCCTGTAGGAGCCAGAGGCTTGCTTCCCAGTGTGAATATATTTGCATTTCAGGGGCCGGCGGGCAAATGAGATTTTAAAGGAAGAAGAACTGGGTTTAAAAACAAATACATTTGAGAAGAAGGATGTTTGGGTGAGAAGCATAAAAGACCAGAGGAGGATTACCAGTGAGGCCAATTAAAATGTTTAAAAATGTTTTGGCTAGCTGAGAAGTGAGGTTCAGAAGCTGAATTTGAATAATGGCTCTGTTGTGGAAGAGGAAGGACTGAACTGAGCAGTAAGTGCGCGGTTGCACTTAGGGACTGAAGAACTGAGGAGGATTCCTTGGTTTCTGACTTGGACACCAGGGTCTTTCAGTGGGAATCACTGTTACGGAGCAAGCTTAGGAGGGAGGGAAGGGGTAATAAGAAAAGGTTGGATTGGAGGTATCATTGAGGCATCCGGGTGATACCACGTAGCTGGCCCTGTAGGTCTAGATCAAAGGAGGATGACTGGGCACATTATTCCTGCCTTTAAAAATAACAGCTAATAACAAAAGCTAAAATTCTTTCTTTAGGACATGTTTGTCTCACATTCTCTGTGATCACCCAGTGAATTTCTTCAGTGTAAGTAAATACTGCGTTAGTGTTATCAGACGTTTTGAATGTTTCAGTCTGCTTAATGATTGTTTCTGTCATTATTTTACCTCCCCGTCCCCAGTGGAAATAGACAAAACCAGAAAACAAACTTCTCTTGTTGATCAGTTACGATCATGTCGCTGTGGAAGGCATGCTGTTTCCTGCCTGTAAGTTTTTATAAATTTTCAGTGAGATTGAATTTACGTAATATTATATGGATGCTTGCCTCCTGGCTTTTGGTGGTACTGCTCTTTTGTTCAGTCATTTAAATAATAGTACCCCCCGCCCCCAGGAAAATAGACTTACTGTTTTGCTTTTGGCAGACCCAGAGAAAGGTACAGTAAGGGAAGGTGCTATACTCTTGGCTAAAACTACTGTTTCTGGATTACTTCTGGATTTTTCCCTGTCCTCTGTCTTTTCACTGATCATTAACCCTGGAAAACAAAGAATCTTCATATATAAACAATGAATTACTTGTTTAGTTGTAAGGTAATATTGCAGACCGGCTGTTTAAATACATTTATGTCAACTACTATAAAAAGCGTCACTTGGAAAGTACAGAGATTGGCGGCTAATTCCGTAGTTGTGGTATCAGTTTATTTTCTTGGTAGCGTCTGTTGCTGTGCCTGATTAGTTAGTTGTCATTTGAATTTGAATGTGGCTGGCTGAGAGTGAATTCTAGTCGGGATGGGTGTGGAAAGTTACCATTTATATGGCGCTAACTAAAGGCCGATCTCTTCATCTGCCTTAGAAAGACTGAACAAGCGTTTCTTAAGCGACTTGTGAGTGTAGTGTTATTGGAGACAACGTAAAGACTGGGTAAATATGGTATCAAAATTATTTTTAGGGCTTTATGGAATTTATTTTTTAAACTCTAAGGACCGGGCGCCTGGGTGGCTCAGTTGGTTAAGCGACTGCCTTTAGCTCAGGTCCTGATCCTGAAGTCCCGGGATCGAGTCCTGCATCCTGCTCCCTGCTCAGCAGGGAGTCTGCTTCTCCTGCTGACCTCTCTCCTCTCACACTCTCTCCCACTCTCAAATAAATAAATAAATCTTAAAAAAAAAAAACAACAACAAAAACAAAACTCTGAGGACCAACCAACAGGTGATTCTGAGGTAGACTGGATGGCTTCTAGTAAATGGATCATTAGTATATGCGCAGGATTATTCCAGACTGCCTGTGAGACTGGGGCAGTCCTGTCTCTCATCTTTCCATGGAGCAGACTCAAGCTTGCTGACCATCTCAGTTGTGTAACAATTCCACATACCTTAAATTCTTATTCCTTACGACTTGTGTTTAATTTACCTTTATATTATAAATTTTCAGTGCTGTGGGAGTCTTATTAAGATGAAACAGGTGAAGTGAAGAAATCTCATAACAAAATACTAATTTTTTAAATTTATTTTTAAGTAATTTCTACATCCGGTGTGGGGCTCGAACCAGCAATCCCAGGGTCAGGAGTTGCGTGCTCTGCCGACTGAGCCATCCGGGTGCCCCTACAATACTAATATTTTATTTGTAAAACAAAACCATGACAAACCATTTTAGTCATTCTTTAGCTTTAATCATTTTATTTGGATTTGCCACTTGAAAACTCGAATTTCAATTTTAGCTTTTTATGCTGTATGTTATAGAAAGGATGCTGTAGTTTTTTCTTTATGTTATAAAGTATTTTATGGATGTGGATAAGTTGTCTCTGTTGCTTGAATATCGTTTTCCTGAGCCACCGCTAACAGAGAGTATGAGGCCCGCCTGGAAAGGTACAGTGAGCGCATTTGGACATGTAAGAGTACCGGAAGCAGTCAGCTAACACACAAGGAGGCCTGGGAGGAGGAACAGGAAGTTGCTGAACTGTAAGTAATAAAAGCATTGCTCTTCTAGCACCATCTTCATATTACTAGGAAGGGGGGAGTATTGACAGTAAAACCATACTTAAAATTATGGGCATACATTGGACTGTATTAGACGAGTACAGTGTGTTGGTGTCTTAGTGCCCTTGCCTAGTGGCATTTTGCTGGTAACAAAGTACATGGAATATATAGTTGTATACACTTACTTAGCTGTTTACCAGGCTCTTGCGTGTTCTTGCTCTATTCTTTTACCTTGACAATACTCTGGAAATGTAGGTTTTGTTTTGCTTTGTTTTTTTAAAGAGAGCGAGTACATGCATGAGGGGTATAGAAGGGCAGAGGGAGAAGGAGAGAATCTTAAGCAGGCTACATGCTCTGCACAGCCCAGTGTGGGGCTGGCGGGGCCCGATCTCACAACCCTGAGATCCTGACCTGAGCCGAAATCAAGAGTCAGGCACTTAACCAGCTGAGCTACTCAGGCACCCCTGGAAATGTGGTTCTGAGCAAAGGAAGTTGATAATAATCTAGAAGTAATACAGAGTCAGCCATTTAGAAAGATTTCTTTATTTTGTGGTCATTTGAAATTTTAGGACAATCTTTCAGTAGCTATCAAAAATAAATACATGGTTTGAAGACAGTTTATCTAAATGGGTTAAGCCTCTGCCTTCGGCTCAGGTCATGATCCCCGGGGTCCTGGGATCCAGCCCCATATCTGGCTTTTTGCTTGGCGGGAGCCTGCTTCCCCTTCTCTCTCTGCCTGCTTCTCTGCCTACTTGTGATCTCTCTCTGTCAAATAAAGAAATAAAATCTTAAAAAAAAAAAAAAATCCATGGGGCACCTGGGTGGCTCAGTGGGTTAAAGCCTCTGCCTTCGGCTCAGGTCATGATCCCAGGGTCCTGGGAATGAGCCCCACATCGGGCTCTCTGCTCAGCGGGGAACCTGCTTCCTCCTCTTTCTCTCTCTGCCTGCCTCTCTGCCTGCTTGTGGTCTCTCTCTGTCAAATAAATAAACAAGATCTTAAAAAAAAAAAAAATCCTGTCTGTGTTCAGAGTACCTACCCATCTGGGTGTTCCCTCAAAGAAAACAATTTGGGGCATAGGAGCATGCAAAAGATACATGAAACCAGGGGTGATAATAAAACAACTCTTCTAGTAATTGGGAAGAGAAGCTTTTTCTGTGGATTTTTCATTGACTTCTCTTGATAGCAGATAAACAGAGAGCATACGGTTGAGTAATCTGATACTGTTCTACTCTTCTGCTGGTGTGAAGGCCCTAGGTTCAGTTGACACCTGGTTCTAGTAATGGCTTCATAACTGACTAGTAATTGTTGGTCCGTTAACCTGGTGTTTGTTCCTTCTTTGCTTGGTCACTTACATTGTTCCATTTTGGATTAGTGTAATTTATGTATATATTTTGTTTTGTACATTAGACCAGGGGTTAGCCTGCCTTATCTGTAAAGTGCCAGTTAGTAAATATTTTAGGGTCTGTGGGTCGCGTGATTTCTGTCTCAGCTGTTCATCTCTGACATAGTACAGTGAAAACAGCCATAGGGAAAATGTAAATGAATGTGAATGGCTGTAAATAGAAGAGAATTTTATGTACAAAAACTAGTGGGTAGCTGAGTTTGGCCCATGGGCTGTTGCCGGCCCTCATAGTAGCTTGTAGACTTCTTGAGGGCAGGTCTCATGTTTGACTTATTCAGGAATTGGTTATGGTGTTTAGGCACTATCCTCTGCACTATATAAGCATTTACGGCTTGCTCTTTGCAAATAGAGATAATGCTGCCTTTTCTGGGTGTCTTTTTGAGACAAAAAGATGTGTGTGATGAAAATTCATGGTAAATAAAAAAATGGTGACCAGTGACCTACGATAGAGAGTATGAAGAGTACTAAGGAGCAAGTCAGTGATTGTTACTTGTAATATGATTGTGTACCAGAAAACCCAAAGAGAATCAAGTGAAACACTGTTAGGAATAAGTAAGAGAATTCAGTTTCAAAATGTGAATAATGTAGGCTTTTCTATATGCAGACAAACGATGGGAATTTAGAGGCTAGGGACCAACCTGGAGTTGTTAGGGAAAACTTCATGGGGCTGCCTTTTTTTTTTTTTTTTAAGATTTTATTTATTTGACAGAGAAAGAGATGGTGAGAGCAGGAACACAAGCAGGGGTAATGGGAGAGGGAGAAGTAGGCCTCCCCCAGAGCAGAGAGCCTGATGTGGGGCTCGATGCCAGGTCCCTGGGATCATGACCTGAGCCAAAGGCAGATGCTTAACGACTGAGCTACCCAGGCACCCCTTCTTGGGGCTTCTTGAGGAAGGTGAACTTGACAGGATAGTTTGTGCCAAATTATAGAAGACAGGATGAGACATAAATACAAATATTTGTATTTAATTTAGTGAATAGTAGGACAACAATAATTTTTGGACAGGAGAGAAATATAAGATTGGAGTAAGGCTTTGAGATTAATCTAGAAGCAGTGTATAGGGTGAGTTAGAGAAGGACGAGCAGATGGAAGTTGATGCAGGCTTCCTTGGGATAATATTCAAATAGAGAGTCATGGCATTATTGGGAATAGAACTAATAAGATGGCTTCTGTAATTGTTCTTGAAAAGAGGGTTTTTAGCCCTAACTTTGGAAAAACTCTACTAACTTTGTTCTTGAAAAATCATAAAACACGTGAGCATATTAAAGGTTTTCAGAAGATTTCCAGTAAAGAAACTGTAGCTTGGTTTAACCTTGTGGGTTTCAAATTCACTTGACCTTAGAAGCCATTACAGCAGAGGGACGTTCTAAAGAACACATTTGGGGTATGTTTTATGTGATTTGATAGTGAACAGAATATAGGGTGTAATGGGAGGGATTACTGAAAATGTATGGTTTTACAGTTTTTATTCAAAGTAGAAATCACGTTTTTTCCATTTATAAAAGTTATGCGTACTTTTTATAAGAATGTAAGCAATATACAGGGACCCCTGGGTGGCTCCACAGGGAGCCTGCTTCTCCCCCTGCTCTCGCTGTCAAATAAATAAATAAATAAAATATTAAAAAAAAAAAAGAATGTGCGCGATACAGAGTTGATCTAAAGATCTGAACATCACTGTCCAGCCTCCCTGCCCAGAAGTAACTGTGGATAGTGACCTTCGAATCCTGGTGACTGGGAGGCTTGATGGAGAGCGGGCTTTTATAAGGGCCAGGAGAGGCCTCATGGAGTTAGCGAAGTCTGAGGGCATCTTGGGGCGGTGATTAAGCTGGGAGGGAGCATGGTAGGGAAAGGACAAAGGTAACAGCCTTAATGAAGGCAGAGAGACTTCTGTTGATTGGACTGGGGAATGGCAGCTAACTCCATAGGTAAATTGTAAGGCAGTATGATAAGAGATTTTTAAGGCTAGCAGTCAGTTCGAGGAACATTTTTGGGTATAAACAGCACAGAAGACTGGGAGTATTACGATTGTGAGCCTGATAGGCTGTCTGCAGTGCATGAGTGCCACATCGCACTCCTCATTTGTTGCTGTTGGGTATGTTAATTAAAATTCTTCTTTTAGTTTATTAAGTGAAAAGTAGTACTTCATTGTTTTACTTTTGCAAGGACTTTGGGTTCAAGTTTTGGTTCCATCATGTTAACCCTTCCTGATTTATTTCCCTTATTCATAAAGTGGAAATTCTAGATACCTCACAAGGTATTGTGAGACCTTTTAATGAATGTGAATACATAGGAAAAAATTGACTGAGACTTAACACAAATAGAATCAAGATTTGGGCTTCTAGCAAAAAAAAAAGGGTGGGGGTAAGGATACAAGTAAATAATTCACACCTAAAAAGGAAAATCTCCTATATAAACAAATGGGAAAATGTTCAGCCTTACAGATGATGTGCCTATTAATTTTATTTTCCAGATGAGAAAATTAACCTGGATAGGCCCATCTGACAGAGCTTCCTAGCAGTTCCGCCTTCGTCCTGCATGCCACATGGTTTTAAAGCTTTGTATTCCCCAGTGCTTGCTTATATTTGCCAAAGAAGTGTTTGCACTAACTTGAATTAATTCTCTAGATAGGTTTTTCTGCATTTTCTTGGTAACTAATAACATGTTTGTTTAGTTTGAAGGAGGAGTTCCCGGCCTGGTATGAGAAACTTGTTCTGGAAATGGTTCACCATAACACAGCCTCTTTAGAGAAATTAGTAGATACTGCTTGGTTGGAGATCATGACAAAATACGCTGTGGGAGAAGAGTGTGATTTTGAGGTAAGCCCATTTTTTTGGGGGTACGATTTGACTCACTAGCCATACATTAAGATTAGAGCTTCCAGCATAGATCACAGAGTGTGGTTCTGTTTGTAAAACTGTTACGTTTGAAGTCTGCTTTACTTAGTATCAGATATTGTAAGGAACTGTTAGAACTATAGTGTAGGAATATAACAAATTTTAGAACTGTATTCATTGTTGGGAATGTTTAACATTATGTTAGTATTATGGTAATTGTTGGGGCACCTGGGTGGCTCAGTCATTTAATCGTCTGCCTTTGGCTCAGGTCATGATCCCAAGGTCCTGGGATCAAGTCCCCAGTCCAGCTCCCTGCTTAGTGAGGAGTCTGCTTGTCCCTCTCCCTTTGCCCCCCTGCCCCTCCCCCCGCTTGTGCACTCTTTCTTGCTCACATGCTCTATCTCTCACAAATAAAATCTTTTTTAAAAAATTTTTATTATTTATTTGACAGAGATTACAAGTAGGCAGAGAGGTGGCAGAGAGAGGGGGGGAAGCAGGCTCCCCGCTGAGCAAAGAGCCCAAGGTGGGGCTCGATCCTAGGACACTGAGATCATGACCTGAGCTAAAGGCAGAGGCTTAACCTACCGAGCTACCATGTGCTCCTCTTTTTTTTTTTTTTTTTAAACTAAATTTGTTTTTTAATTTTCTAGTCCAGATAGTACCAGGGTAGCAATGATTAAAGTGAAAACCTAACACTAAAGAAATCCCTGTATAATCCTTTGAAAGCTTAAAGTAAGATTCAGGAGGAAGGGGACTAACATTTGTTAAATATTTGTATGTACTGGAAATCGGGCTGATTGCTTTGCCATAATATCTTGCAGAATGTGCACAAAAAATGTCGAGGTGGTAAACAAGCTCACCTATTTATCAGTTTTTTAAATTTATTTTTCTTTTTTAATTTAAATTCAATTTAATGAACATATAGTGTATCATTAATTTCAGAGGTACTTTTGTGATTCATCAGTTGCATAGAGCACGCAGTGCTCATTCCATCGCATGCCCTCCTCAGTGCCCATCACCCAGTTACCCCATCCCTCCACCTACCGCCCTGCCAGGAACCTTCAGTTTGTTTCCTGTAGTTAACAGTCTCTTATGGTTTGTCTCCCTCTCTGATTTTGTCTGAGTTTATTTTTCCTTCCCTTCCCCCATGTTCATTTGTTTCGTTTCTGAAATTCCACATGTGAGTGAAATCATAGGATATTTACCTTTCTCTGACTTAATTTCACTTAATCCTCTAGTTCCAGCCACGTCATTGCAAATGGCAAGATTTCATTCTTTTTTGATGCCTGAGTAATATACTCCATTGTGTGTGTGTGCGTGTGTGTGTGTGTGTGTACACACCACATCTTAATTCATCTGTCGATGGACATCTCAGCTCTTTCCATAGTTTGGCTGTTGTGGCTGTTGCTGCTGTGAACACTGGGTGCATGTTGCATGTCAGGCTCAAATATTTAAATAGCTTGTTTAGGTAAGGCTCCTGGCTGGCTCAGTTGGTGGAGCATGTGACTCTTCATCTTGGGGCCATGAGTTTATGCCCTCTGTTGGGTGTAGAGATCACTCAAAAAAAACCAAAACAAAAACTTAAAATATCTTGTTCAGATTGATTTTTTTCTTTTTTAAAGATTTTATGTGTCAGAGAGAGCGAGCCAGCACAAATGGGGGAGTGGCAGGCAGAGGGGGAAGCAGGTTTTCTGCTGAGCGGGGAGCCCGATGCGGGACTCGATCCCTGGACCCTAGGATCATGACCTGAGCTGGAGGCAGCCCCTTAACCAGACTGAGTCACCCACCCAGGTGTCACCAGATTGATATGTTTTAGTTAAGAATGGTTTCAGCTGTATGTAACGAAATAGCCGACTAGCAGTGTCAAGTACTTCTCAGACTTGAGCCTCAATGAAATCACTTGGAGGACTTCTGAAGATACATTCTTGGGCACCATTCCCTGACAGTTTGGTTCAGAAGGTCAGAGGTAGGGCCCCAAAGTATGCAGTTCTGACCAGCTGCGGGGTGTGATGACGACACTCTGGGGACATACTTTGAGTAGTCTTGGCTTGAGCAGTGAAGACCTTTAATTGTCTCACATAGCAAGTCGTAGGGGCAGGTGGTACCAGGTTTGGGATAGAGGCTGGGTAGTATTGTCAAGGACCTGTACTTCTTGTCTTTCTGCTCTGCTCTGTTCAGGGTTTTGAGTTGTGTCCTTAGCTTTGTTGCCTCTCAGTTGTGAACTCGCGACTGTGTTCAGAGTGAGAAAGTGCCTACCTGAGTGTCGTAAGAAAACTTCACCAGAAGCATGCACTTGACCCTCACCCTTACTGTGGTGTGGCTAGACTGTGTCTGTGTAGCCGTCCCGAGCTGCACGGGGGCTGGGAAAGTGAATATCGCCTTTTCTTTTTCCTTTGAGGTTTTACTTATTTGGGAGAGAGCACAAGAGAGAGCATGAGCTGTAGGGAGGGACTGAGGGAGAGGGGAAAGCAGGCTCCCTGCCAAGCAGGGAGTGTGATATGGACTCCATCCCAGGACCCCGAGATCATGACCTGAGCTGAAGGCAGACGTTTAACTGACTGAGCCACCCAGGCCTCCCCCTGATTTTTTTTAAAAGCCTCAGAAAAAGGCAGCCTGGCAAGAGAAAGTAGGGAGGGGAATGGCTTAGTAGCTTAACAGTAGCCAGTAATTACATGTTGGGACAAGGATTCAAACTTTTGTCTGTTTGTGTGGTTCCAAAGTTCTTGTTCTTTTCCCTAATTTACTTTGACTCTCTGGAGCTCCTAGCTAGTTCTTTTTCTATTTGTAACGTCTGTGGGTTTTAATCACATACTTCACATTAGTCAGAGTCCTGGCAGGAAACAGATGGCATATTCAAATGGTGGAATTGAACTGAATTGAATTAAGGGACTATGGATGATAGACAACAGTGTGATCTCAGTTAAGGAAGACTGTCAAGGACAGGTTAAGTACCTGATTGTTTCCAACAGTAGAGAGCCCACCACTTGTAAACCCCAAAGAAACAAGGGAGCAAGTGGGTATGCAACGAGAAGAGAGTGTGTAGTTATAGAAGAGTACTTTTGTAGTAAGATGTAACCAATTTTCTAGGGAGACAGTCAAGGGAATAAATACCCCAACATCACTTTTCCTCTACCATCCATCTGATTTTCTGCTCTTGCTTCCTGTGGGTTGAACTCAACAAAATCTAGATGGCAAGGGAGCCCTTTGGTGTTAGAATTTATGAGATGCTGCCTACGGTAGAAGTTAGGAGAAATGTATAGCGCTAAACAACCAGACAACTTTTTTTTAGAAAAAATAGGTCTCGAAGCGTTTGACCTTGGATTCTACCTTAAGAGATAAGAAAGAGAAGAGCAAATTAAATCAAAGAAAACAGAAGAAGAAAGGATTTAGTAAAGATCAAAGTAGAAATTAGTAAAATAGAAAACAGGAAAATCAGCGATACCAGAACCTGCTAATTCAATAAAATTAATAAACCTCCAACCAAAATTCCAGGAAAAAAAGGGACACAAGTTAACCAACATGAAGAATTAGGTGATACATATAGTCTACAGATATTGACAGGGTAATAAGGGAATATTAAGAACATTTTTGACACCAATAAATTTGACAACTAAAGTGGACAAATCCCTTGAAAGATACAAACTACCAAAACCCATTCAACAACAAATAATACAAACCTTAATAGGTGCTCTTGTGAACTGTCTGTCAAATAAATAAATAAAATATTAAAAAAGCAAAAACAAAAAACTTGATGAAACTCCATGCCCAAATGTCTTCTTCGTTGGTGAATTCTGTCAAACATTTAAGGAAGATACAATACCAATTCTATACAAGTGTTATCAGAAAATAGAAGAGGAGAGGGAGGTGTGAATTCTTTGGAACTCATTATGTAAGGTCAGCATTACCCTGATACCAAAACTGTATAAGCACATTAAAGAGAAAAAACTATGCATTAAGAAAAAAAGTCTGTGTTCACAAAACCCCATTGTGAACACAGATGCAAAATTTTCTTTCTTTTTTTTTTTTTTTTAAAGATTTTATTTATTTATTTGACAGAGATCATAAGTAGGCAGAGAGGCAGGCAAAGGGAGAGGAACGGAAGCAGGCTCCCCGCTGAGCAGAGAACCTGATGCGGGGCTCCATCCCAGGACCCTGAGATCATGACCTGAGCCGAAGGCAGAGGCTTTAACCCACTGAGCCACCCAGGTGCCCCAGATGCAAAATTTTCTAATCAAAATTTTAGCAAATGAAATCCAGCACTAGGAAAAGGACAGTTTATCATAATTCAGTGGGGTTTATTCTACAAATGCAAAGTTGTTATAAATTTATAATTCTCCTTATAAACAGGATGAAAAACCATATGGTCATCTCATTTTATACACAAAAAGCGTTCAACAAAATCCAGCATCAGTTTCTAATAAAAACGCAACAAACTGCAAATAGAAAAGCCGTCAGTCTAATAAAGGGTGTTTACACAATAATCTCTAGCTAACAACATATCTAATGGTAAAAGAGTGAATGTCTGCTGTTCCACTCCATTTAACATTGTATTGGTGGTTTTAGTCAGTAAGTATGTCCAGAAAAGGAAATAAAGGGCATCTATATTGGGAAGGAAGAAATAAAGTTATCTTTATTTGCAGACAGCATGATTGTCTATGTAGAAAATCTCCTAGAATCTCCCATAAAAGCTACTAGAGCTAATAAGTGAGTTTATGAGCAGGGTAGCAGGATACAAGATAAATAATAGAAAAACCAAACAATTGGAAATTAAAATTTAGAAAGATCAGTATCTTTAAAGATTTTTTGTTTGTATGTTTTTGAGAGAGAGGGAGCATGAGCAAGGGCGAAGCGCAGAGGGAGAAGCAGACTCCCTGCTAAGTAGGAAACTCGATGTGGGACTTGAACCAGGACCCAGGGTCATGCCCCAAGCTGAGGGCAGACACTTAACCGACTGAGCCACGCTGGCTCCCAGAAAGGTCAACCATTCATGGTAATGTCAAAACACGTGAAATATTCTGGGAGTGATTTGACAAGAGATACACAAGATCCATACACTAAAAAGTATAAAATGTTCCTGAGAGAAATTTAAGAGGGCCTTAAATGATAGATACATCTTTGCTCGTGGGCTGGAAAACTCAGTATTGTTAAAATATCAGTTCTTCCTAAATTGATGTGTAGATTCACCACAATTGCAATAAAATCCCAGCAGCTTTTCAACTATGCTCAAAAAATAATAATAAAATGCCAGCAGCTCTTCTGTAGGAATTGTCAAGCTGATTGTAAAGTTCCTGTGGAAGGGTGCCTGGGTGGCTTGGTCCAACTCTTGGTCCCCCCCTTAAAGATTTATTTATTTATTTATTTATTTGACAGAGATCACAAGCAGGCAGAGAGACAGGCAGAAAGAGAGGGAAGCAGGCTCCCTGCTGAGCAGAGAGCCTGATGCGGGGCTCGATCCCAGGACCCTGAGACCATCACCTGAGCCGAAGGCAGAGGCTTAACCCACTGAGCAACCCAGGCGCCCCCAACTCTTGGTTTTTGACTCAGGTTGTGATCTCTAGGTGGGGAGATGGAACCCTCCGCCAGGTTCCCTGCTCAGTGGGGGGGGGAGTTTGCTTCCTCTGACTTTCCTCTTCCACCGCCCCTTCTCCTTGGCTTGCATTCTCTCTCTCTTTGAAATAAATCTTCATTTTATTATTTTTAAAAGATTTTATATATTGGGGTGCCTGGGTGGCTCAGTGGGTTAAAGCCTCTGCCTTTGGCTTGGGTCATGATCCCAGGGTCATGGGATCGAGTCCTACATCGGGCTCTCTGCTTGGCAGAGAGCCTGCTTCCTCCTCTCTCTCTGCCTGCCTCTCTGCCTACTTATGATCTCTGTCTGTCAAATAAATAAATAAAATCTTAAAAAGAAAAAGATCTTGTATATTTATTTGTGTGTGTGAGAGAGAGAGCATGAGTTGGGGGAAAGGGCAGAAAGAGAGGGAGAAGCAGATTCTCCATTGAGCAGGGAACTCCTGATGCAGGTCTCTATCCCAGGACGCTGGGGTTATGACCTGAGCCCCAGGCGCCCCATACATAAATCTTTTTTTTTTTTTTTTTTTAAGATTTTATTTATTTATTAAACAGAGATCACAAGTAGGCAGAGAGGCAGGCAGAGATGGGGGGGGAGGCAGGCTCCTTGCTGATTAGAGAGCCCGATGTAGGGCTCGATTCCAGGGCCCTGAGATCATGACCTGAGCTGAAGGCAGAGGCTTAAACCACTGAGCCACCCAGGGGCCCCCCGATACATAAATCTTAAAAAAAAAAAATTAGTGTGGAAATGCAGAGCCCAGCCAAAAAGAACTTTGACAAAGAACAACAAAGTTAGGTATAATACTGTCTGATTTTGGTTAAGATTATATGCAGTTGGTATAAAGATAGACTGATAGATCAGTGAAACAGAGTAGCATTCAGAAATAGACTAACAGAGTAGCATTCAGAAATAGACTCGTATCCATCCATACACACACTACTGATGTGGAACCCAGCATGGGGCTGATACTCCCAACCCTGAGATAAAGACCTGAGCTGAGATCAAGAGTCGGATGCTTAACCGACTGAGCCACCCAGGTGCCCTCAACTACTGATTTTTGATAGAGGTAGAAAGATAATTAAGTGAAGATTGTCTTTTCAAAACGTGATTCTAGAATAATTGGATAGCCATATGTATAGTTGAAATTTATTAATTTTTTCGAGATTTTATTTTTAAGCAGTCTGCACCAAACATGGGGCTCAGACTCACGATTCGTGTGCTCTTCCTACTGAGCCAGCCAGATGCTCCTGTAGAGTTGGTTTTCTTAAAAATGGAAATTCTTGAACTGTATTTTACATATATGTCAGGTTAGTGTAGTGATTGCCTTTTGGCCTTAGGACATTGGTGTGTGAATCATGAACTAGATGGTGGTCATTTTATTTCTTAAGGTATCCTGTTTCAATTTAGAAGTCTTAGAAATGAAGTTGAAAAAATTCACTACTTGGCTACTTCAGAGTTTCAGTGAATTTTTGTCAGGTGAAGTGGGATGGATATTAGATAATAAATTCTAAACATCTTTAGCTTTCTGGTTCTTACTATCATTGATTCTTGCCCGTCTCCTTTATAGGTTGGGAAGGAAAAAATGCTCAAGGTGAGGATTGTGAAGATTCATCCTTTGGAAAAAGTAGATGAAGAGGCCGCTGAGAAGAAATCGGATGGTGCCTGTGACTCTCCCTCCAGCGACAAAGAGAACTCGGGTCAGATTCCTCAGGATCATCAGAAGAAGGAAGCGATTGTAAAAGAGGATGAAGGAAGGAGAGAGAGTATTAGTATGTATGATGCTAGCTTTCCTTAGTGAGTTGTGCTACTCTGTTTATTTTATACACAAATCTTTCTGAGTTCTCCTGCACTTAGATTAGGATTTGAGTTTTGTAGATAGCTAGACATGTTTTTGTTCATTTATGATTCAGAAAGCAAAATATTCAGCAAGTGAATTAAGATTTTAAATCCACCCCCCCCACACACAAAATATTTAAATCTCCCTGTACAGTTAAGACCATTGGGAAGTCATTACCTCTGGCTGTTTAGAAATCTGTGCACGCACCTGTCTACCCAGGATGGGAAAGAAAGGTTTACTTTCCTTTTCTCTAAGTTGGATATATGGAAGTAAGTGTGGAAGCGGGGGGATTGGCGTAGGAGGGGCTCATTCTAATTTCTGTTTCTTTTCATATTATAAGCCAGTGTGGTGCTTTTAAGATACTTCTTTTGTCTATATTCTGTAATTCAGGTCCTTCTCAGACGGGATCTGCCAGAATTGTGAAACACTAAAAATAATTTTTAGGGACCTGGAGACTTAACCAGTGATGTTTTCAAAGTTGAGAAACTGAAACGTTGCTTACTGGGGAGACTTTTCAGCCTCTGAGGGCTTCGTTGTTATAATTATTTTTTTAAATTTGTGTAAATAAGGAATTTGACTAGATCCCTTCTCTCTCCAAAAATAGGAGCACTCAGAGTGTGTGTTTATCAGTCCCTTTCTCTGTGACTGTTCGAGGATTAAACAGTTTTCCCTCATTCTTTAACTGTCACAAAGTTTGAATTAGAATATTACATTAAAATGTTCTGCTGTGTGCCTTCCATTCTGTTTTGTGTCTCCGGGGGTCTGGGATATGTGCAGATGGTCTTAGAGGGCCGTCCTTACCCAGTCCCAAGGATGCTTTGGAGATCGTGTAGCCGCTCCCTTCTCGCCGTTGATGCTGCAGTTTTGTTTTCTTCTCTACTGTGTTACGAATGCTAATGTCTGCGTTTTTCAGTTTCTCTCTCCTTTTGACACTGAAGCTTTATAATATGTGTGTTACATTTCCTGTTTTGGCTTGGTTGTTTTGGGTAGGTGTTAGCAGATCTGTCTTCTAACACTTCTTTTCTTCTAGAATGAGGATCATTGGAATACCCGTGATGTGGTACAGCTGTTAGTTTTACACCTTAAGCATTGTGTACCAGGATCTGCTGGTTTTAGGCTTTGGCTTATTTTTTAGAGTGTGTGCCCTAAGTGCAGGTTTTAATTACTGGGATGTAATGTTATTGCTACTATGTTGATAAGAGTAGTAGGTGGGCTACTAGAATTAATGTTATGGTATATTTGCATTTCTTCAGGGGAAAATTCATTAGAATTTCCATAGAAATATGAGAGGCAAATTCTACTATGCAAAATATTTTCTTAATCATGTGACCTTTTCTTTTACTTTGTGGAGGGAAGCAAGAATTTTTCAGGTTTGTGTTCCTAACCTCCCTCGTAGGACTCTGTTCTCCCTCTTAGATGGGAGCACTCTTTTCTCTTGGCCAAGATACTTGTGCTTTGAATACCATTCCCTCTGGGGTACCTGGGTGGTTCAGTCAGTTAAGCATCTGCCTTCAGCACAGGTCATGATTCCAGGGTCCTGGGACCTAGCCCCGCATCTGACTTCTTGCTCAGCGGGAAGCCTGCCAGTTCCCCTGCTTGGGCGCTTTTTCTTTCTTTCTCTCTTTTTTATAAATAAATAATAACTCTTTAAAAAAAAAGTGAATACCGTTCCCTCTTAGTTTCTCAAGGGCTGGGTAAACTTTTATCATTCTACCATACGCTGTTTTTTTTAAAGTAGGCTCCATGCCCAGCATGGAGCCCAATGCAGGGCATGAAGACACGACCCTGAGATCAAGACCTGAGCTGATACCAAGAGTCGGACTCTTAACCAGCTGAGCCACCCAAGTGCCCCTCTACTATACAGTGTTTTAAACTCTCTTTCTAATGGTTCTTCTCAGATTATAAACAAAGTCTCATTTTCTATAAACAAAAGCATATCTTCCCTTGATCCTTTTCCATTTCTGTCTTTCTTATTCAAGGTAAGATTCTTGAGAATGTCGTCTCCACTTTCTGACCATAAGTTTATGTCTTATGCTGTTACAATGTACCTTCTGCGTCTTTACTCCTCAAACTGTTCCCAACAAGATTAATAGGTGACCTCCCTAATTGTAGAATTCACTAATTTCTCCTTTGTGTTTTACGTTATTGTTCCAGCAGACCAACACAGACCAACACTGTTGGTCACTCTTGTATCTTTCAGCTTATTTGATACCATAGTCTCCCTGGGTTTCCTAACTACTTTTCTGGGAGGAGGAGTTATTTGTTTTTTGTTTTTAAGTGTCTTCTGCCTAACGTGGGACTCCCAGCTCATGACCTCGAGATCAAGAGTTACACACTTTTTTCCGACATTAAATTATTTTTCATAGGATTTTGTTCTGCCTCCTTTTAATTTTTTTGTACAGGGGTATTGTTCTATTTCATTCCTGCCCATAGTTTAAATTCTTAATCTCTATAAAGGCTGATGATTCCCAGACCCACGTCAGCTTAGCTTCTTACCTCTAGACCCAGACTTCACGTGTATATCCTGGGCAGTTTAAATTTAACACCTGTAAGGCTAAATTGTTCATCTTACTCTTTATGTTATCTTCCCAAGGTACCTCAACAAGAATTGTCCTGCTTTTCTTTCTTTCTTTCTTTGCCAGACAGAGATCACAAGTAGGCAGAGAGGCAGGCAGAGAGAAAGGAAGAAGCAGGCTCCCTGCTGAGCAGAGAGCCCGATGCAGGGCTCGATCCCAGGACCCCGGGATCATGACCTGAGCTGAAGGCAGAGGCCCTAACCCACTGAGCCACCCGGGTGCCCCGTGTCCTGCTTTTCTTTCAACATTCTCTTACTCAGTTAATGATCCCCCTCATCTTGGTCCCTAAAGCAGAAAACTTGGAAGTTGTTAGCATTTCCACATCTGGTTGGTTACCAATCTATCTTCTAAATGCCTTTTGACTCTCCACTTGAACCTCTTGAACCTCCATTCCAGTTAAATTCATTCAGATGTTTAGTGCTGCTTCTTGTGATTCCCAATCTTTAGTCTCAGCTGACCTTTTCATTCATTTTCTAACTGCAGAAAGTGTTTAATTTTTTCATAGTAGTGATCTTTCACACCATAGTTAGACGGAAATCCTTTGTTTCCTTAGTGCCCACGAGACACATTCATCTCTTTAAATGGCATTCATTGTTGGGGCTCCTGGCTGCCTTAGTCAGTAGAGCATGTGACTCTTGATCTTAGGGTTGTGAGTTCAAGTTCAAGCCCCCACATTGGACATGGAGCCTACTTTAAGACAAAACAAAACAAAAACAAATTACTTGTAATTTGGCCCCTTCTTAACTCTTTGGTTTGAAGTTTTTACTGCAGTCTAGATCATAGTCACTCATCTCGTTGCTTATAGTCTATAAACGAGTCTTACTTTTTCTTCCAGACCAAGTTAGACATTGCTTCTCTTTCCTCTCACTGTATTTTTCTGTATCAGTCTGTCATAGTAGTTTATCACATTGTACTGTAATTTTTGTAGACTCATAGACTATCTGCTTGAGGTAAGGATTTTATAATTCATAGAGTAGGTGTTCGTTAAGATTATGAGTAATGAATGAATGGATGAAATTAAAGACTTGTTTTTTTCACTAATTTTCTATTGATTTGATTAGATGACAGAGCACGTAGATCTCCACGAAAACTCCCTACTTCATTAAAAAAAGGAGAAAGGAAATGGGCTCCACCAAAATTTCTGCCTCACAAATACGATGTGAAATTACAAAATGAAGATAAGGTTAGTTGGTACTTTGTATTAAACCTTTTACACGTAGTAAATGTTAAACTTCAGAAAATGTAGGGCTAGTTTTCTCGGAGAAAATGTGCTAAAAAAAATATGAGTGAATGTGTTTTTACGACCAATTCTGAGGGTTTTTCTAGTCTTTGTAATTATGACCTTAAGTTAAATTGTATTTTTTCTCTAGGAGATAGCATGCTTTTTTTCTTTTAATATGAATTATTAGGGTATAAAAATTATTTGCATTTGAGCTTCAAGCTGAGTTTGAAAAATAAGAATCAGTTCCCAGCAGTTAAGGACTTTTCCCCAGGTAATAGCTCTTCCCAGTTAAAAATAAAGCAATTTGTAATATACTTAAACTCAGAAACTGAGTCAGTTCTAATCAGTGCTTTTACAAGGAATTTGTGAAGCTACTAATCTAAAATAGTAAATACCTTTAAAATGACTTAGTGCTTTGTTTTACTGATTTATTGATCCAGAGTCATGATACACCTTAAAAAAAAATATATATATATATATATATATATTTTAAATACACAAGATCTTTATTAATTAATAAAACAAAAAAGAGGAAAACAGAAGCAACAAAATGAAGACCATACTGCTCATGATACATCAGCCACATGGTCAGAAAACCAATTTCTAAAGAGCGACAGCTGCTGGTGTCATGGAGTTTTATTGCATTCAACAGGGGAAAGGTAGATGGTTGGAATGAAAAAGATGAGCAGGCCTCTGATAGGAAGATATTATAGGGGCTCTAATCCTTAATTGTGGACTCCTCTTGTTACTTCCTTTGGAGCAAAAGATGGAGAGGAGAGAGGAATTCTCCTTTATGACTATATGACTTCTTGTGAGACAGATCAGTCCACCTAGATACAAAGAATCCTTGTATCCCCACAGGCCAGTTGCTAGTGCTCATCTTTATGTTAAAGTGTGGAAGCCATAGAGGGGATAGAGAGTAGCAAAAATGGTTGCCTTGGCCCCAAAGGCATCAGAGGATGGGGAGGACACTATCTGGGTCATCAGAGTCCTCTACATTCTGAGACTATCACATGGCACTTCAACTCTTTGGAGGGGGCTGGGTGATTGAGTTATGGCTCTGACTCCTCTCTGGGGGTGGAGAGTGAAGATGACAAAGAAGTCCATCTGTCCCCTGGGAGACACAGTTGCAGAGATGAGACAGAAAAGCACAGAATAACAAAATCCAACTAGAAAAAAGGGTCTGCGAAGGGCCTGGGAAGGCAGTATGCTAGGTGCACACCTCTAAGAAATATTTATTTATTTATTTATTTTAGAGAGGTGGAGTTGGGGGGGCACAGAGGAAGAGGGAGAGAGTCCCAAGCAGACTCTACACTGAGCTCAGAGCCCAACATGGGGCTCAGTTTCATGACCCTGCAATCGTGACCTGAGTTGAAACCAAGAGTTGCATGCTTAACTGACTGACCCACCCAGGTGCCCCCGGTGGTTAGCTTTTAAATAAAAATAGGAGTATTCTGTATGTACTATTTTGTAGCTTGGTTTTTTTCATTTAGTATGCAGTAAACATCTGTGATGTCATTAAATTTTTCCCAAAACAGTGTTTTCAGGTTGTAGGGTGTATGATAGTGACCAAGGGAATTTACTAAGGATGTAGATGCCTAGGCTGTGCTGCCGGAGATACTTCTGATTCAATAAGTTTGGGGCCCAAACATCTGCATTTTAATAACACCCTAGATGATTCTGATAAATTTGTCCTGATTAAGAAATGTTTTTCCTCTAAGGTTGTATATATTATAGGTAATATATTTTATGGTTATATATGTTACGTGCAGTATATTACATATATTTATATGTATATAATGGTTGCCTTCATTATATGGATGTATTTTAATTTAAAAAATGATTCCATTGCTGATGTACCTTTACGTAATTTTCCCTTCTGTTTTGTTTTTTTTTTTTTTTTGGGGGGGGGTTTTTTTTTTTCATTTTATAAGCAGTCGGTGATGACTGTCCATTTACTTCTAAATTGTTGTGTTTTTTTTAAGGTGTTATTTATTTGACAGAAACTGTGAGAGAGGAAACACAAGCAGGGGGAGTGGGAGAGGGAGAAGCAGGCCCCCTGCCAAGCAGAGAGCCTGATGTGGGGCTCCATCCCAGGACCCTGGGATCAAGCCCCACATCAGACTATGTGCTCAGAGTCTGCTTCTCCTTCTCCCGGTGCCCCTCCACCCCACTCATGCTCTCACTCTCAAATAAATGAGATCTTTAAAAAAAAAAAAAAAAAGGAATTGCTGGTTCAGTGGATATGCACATTTTTAGGACTTTGATACATACTGATAAATTGCGTAGGGATGTGTTTAACATTCTGTCTCAGAAAATTCCTCTTTTTGTTTCATCTAGCTTATAGTAGCCGTATTTTATAGAGGGGATTCTGATTTTTCTGGAGAGAACATAAATCTTTGTTCTCAGTAGTTAATTGCTTGTTACCCAGTGGTAAGTTATTTGTATTTGTTCACCTAGATCATCAGTAATGTGCCAGCAGACAGCTTGATTCGCACAGAACGCCCGCCAAATAAGGAGATACTTCGATACTTTATACGGCATAACGCGTTACGGGCCGGTACTGGTGAAAATGCACCGTGGGTGGTGGAAGATGAATTGGTGAAGAAATACTCCCTCCCTAGCAAGTTCAGTGACTTTTTACTTGATCCATACAAGGTAAGGTCACTCTAATTTTTGAACAGCAAGATAGAATACTTTTAGATGAGTTTGTTTTCTCTGGTAGCTCCATTTAGATTAGATTGTGAGCTTTTAAAACAGAAAATGGATTCAGAAATTTTCACATCTGTCTGTTTTATGTAGGTGATGATGTGGGGTTGGTATTGAATATCTCCCCTACTTCAATATATGGTTTTTTAAGTTGTGGTTGCATAATTAAAAAAAAAATTCATACTTTTTTGCTTCATTCTTCTTGGAATGAGGTATGGTATAAATAGAAAAAAAAAAAAACCTGAATTTAAATATCAGATAAAATGATCAAAGACACCAGCAGCCTTAAAAAGACTTGAAATGAGTATTACTTTGTGTGATAGATTAGTAGAAAATCTAGCATTTCCCTCTTGAGAATGCGTTGGACTTTTTTCCGTCAATCAGCTCATTTGATCTTCAAAACATTTCTTACGAGGTCGTGGGGGTGGGCCGAGTGTGTGTATGTGTGAGTATAATCTTATTTTCCAGATGCACAAGCTGAGGCTAGTCTAATTAGAACCAACAGAAAGTAAACTGACAAAAGCCAAGACATTGGCCTCAGATTTCTGATTGTCTTTTTCATCTCAGGGTTTCTCCCATAAGATCTTTTTTATTTCAGTAAGAAATAAAATAAGATTTTATTTATTTATTTGACAGACAGAGATCACAAGTAGGCAGAGAGGCGGGCAGAGAGAGAGGAGGAAGCAGGCTCCCTGCCGGGCAGAGAGCCCGATGCAGGGCTCAATCCCAGGACCCCAAGATCGTGACCTGAGCTGAAGGCAGAGGCTTTTAACCCACTGAGTCACCCAGGGGCCCCAAGATTTTTTTTATGTAGGTTTTGAGAGTATTTTTGTTCTTTGTGGCAAGTTTACTGATTTGCATACTGATAGTTCACCTTGATCTTAGGGCAGGAATGGGGGCCAGAGCCACTGATTCCTTAAGACCAAGTCAGAGTTCCATGATTGTTTTTTCCCTTTCCTTTTCATTTTGAAAAAAACTAAGCACATCTGGTGTCCTACAACTAAGTTGCCTCAATTATTTTAGGTTCATTTTGCTGAAAAAAGTATATGAGGGGCGCTTGGGTGGCTCAGTGAGTTAAGCCTCCGCCTTCAGTTCAGGTCATGATCCCAGGGTCCTGGGATCGAGCCCTGCATCAGGCTCTCTGCTCGGCAGGGAACCTGCTTCCCCCTCTCTCTCTGTCTGCCTCTCTGCCTACCTGTGCGCTCTCTGTGTCAAATAAATAAAATCTTAAAAAAAAAAAAAAAGTATAATGAGAAATAATTTTTTATTTCTCCAACCATAGTTTAGCACTTAGCATGTTTTCTTATTCCAGACCAGCATGACCAAGCGTTTTCTTTCTGTGCTCTTTAAATTTTTATTTGCATAAAAGGAAAAATTTAGAAATTAATAGGCTTTTTTCTGGATTAGGACTAAAGTTTCTGTGGAACTTCGGTAAACCTAAATTTTGTTTATTCACTGAGGGAAAATTTTAATTCTTTGTCATTTTATTGCTCTAGAGTTTTGGAGCTGTGATAACGGCTTTCAGTGGTTACAACATAAGATGATGATTATTATCTTATCATAAGATGATGATGATTAGTGTACGAAAATCCCATGCAGAATCATCTCTGAATGAGTTTCAGACTGTTGGATCATTTGAGTCCTTACATATTTTCCTCTTTTTAAATCTTACAGCTTTTATGTATTTTAGTTTAGGGATTTAAGTATATGAATAACATGGAAAAAAAAAAAAAGAATAAAAAGAGAAAGGCCAAATATTATTTATGGGTAAAAGGTCTTTGGGGCTTACTGGAACAAAAAAGCTGATCCACACTTTTTGTAGGAGCCAGAGACTAGAATTTTAGGAACTTGTATCTTGAAAAGGAGTTTCTGAAGAAATCAGCTACTCTCAAATTTTCTACTGAGGGCTTAAGATACTTAATAGAATTTGGCTATAATTAAGGTTGAGACTAGGAAGTATTAGCTTGTTTGGACTACAGTGCTGTAAGAAGACAGTGATTCTGTTTAGAGAACTTGAGAACTTGTAAAATACCACTCTACGTAATAAATCTTATTCCCCAGTACTATTTGACATTTCCCTGATTTTGTCACCTGAGTTTTGCACATAAGTTGTGTTTTTCCTGTTTGTAGTTTCCTTCCTTCCTCCCTCCCTCCCTTCCTTCCTTCTTTCCTTCCTAAGATTTCATTTATTTGTCAGAGACAGAGAGAGAGAAAGCACAAAAGGGAAGCGGCAGGCAGGGGGAGAAGCGGGCTCCCTGGGGAGCCACATGTGGGACTCAGTCCTGGGACTCCAGGATCATGACCTGAGCCAGAGGCAGATGCTTAACTGACTGAGCCACCCACGCACCCTATTTGTAGTTTTCTTAAAGAACTTGGAGTATCTCTGCCAGTACAGAATATAGTGAAGAAACAGATAAGTAGACCATGAAACAGTGTTTCGGATTTTTTCCTCATCTAAAGGAAATTTTAAGTCATGCATTGAGGATTCAAGTTAATCACATAAAATCTGCCTTTCCCAAAGGCAATAAGTTTAAAAAATTTTTTTCTCTCTTCATCTTCTCTTTGGTTTTCATAGAATCTCCTTTGGTTTTCAGCCAGGTGCAGCTCCTGTGAAGAGAGAGGAGACGTGGAGTTCAGGAAGCAAGTTCTGAGCAGTAGTTTAGGGAAAGGACCGAAGGGGATCCTAGGTTGGGAGAGAAGAAAGTTAGAGATTTGGAAGTTGGAGTGTTACCTGAGTAGGGCCTGATGTGATGATGAGAGTGTGTTTGTGGTGTTGTAAATTTTAGAACATAAATTACTTGAAAATGAGAACGAGCTTATTCATTTTGTGTTCTGTAATGTTTAGCATAGGTGTAATAGGTAAGTGGCTGGTGAATTCATCTCTTTAAGTATCATTTGTTGAGAAAAAAATGCAAAAACAGTTGAGTTTAGGGATAATGACTTGGGGGAATGACCTACAAGGAATTTGTGTGGTAACTGTCATGTAAGGTGAAATGTGCCATTTTGGCTCATTGCTCTTCGGTGGAATATATTGCAACTCCAGTGTTTTGTTACTCATGCCACAGTGTTTGAGCTCTTAATTTCAGGTTGCTGAATGCTTAGTAGGGAGGCTTTTGGATAGAGATGTAACAACTAAATACTACTTTTTTTTAAAGAGCTTTGGAATCCTGTCATAATTTGGACTGCTTTAATAGGGTTTTTAAATGCACTTTAAGAACATCTTATTTTGAAATAATTTCATACCGAAAGTAGACAAATTACTGTGAAGAATTTCTTCTGTATACCTTCAAGTGAATTTCCCAGATGTTAACATTTACCACATTTGTTTAATTATTTTCTCTCTTTTCAAACACACAAATTATTTTTTTCTGAGCCACCGAGAAGGCCCTTTCATTTGAATATATGGGATATTTTCTTTTTCTTGGTTTTTTATTTTTTTATTTTACTTATTTGAGAGAGTGAGAGCATCAGCAGGAGGAGGGACATGAAGGAAAGGGAGAGAATCTCAAGCAGACTTCAAGCTGAGCCCAGAGCCCATTGCGGGACTCAAGTCTCATGACCCTGAGATCATGATCTGAGCCAAAACCAAGAGTCAGATGCTTAACTGACTGAGTCACGTAGGGAGCCCAAGCACAAGGCTATTTTCTAATGTAACTATAGTACAGTTGGCAAAATCAGGAAGTTAACATTGAAACAATTATCTGTAGTCCTTACACAAATTTTGAAAACTGTCCCAGCCCTGCCCTTTTAGCCAAAAAAAAATATTGGTTTGGTTTTAGTAGGATCCAATACAGTATCATGTATGATGTTTCCTTGTTTTGTTTTGTTAGGAGATTGATCTCTGATCTGGAGCCATCTCTCAGCTTTTCTTTGTCTTTCAAGAACCTTGACATTTTTTTAAGAATACAAGCCAATGACTTTTGTGTGATGCTTCTCAATTTGTGGCTATTTCCATATGATTATATTCAGGCTATGGATTTTGGGTAGAAATGCCACAGAACTGATGTGTTTTTCTTAGTGAATCATATCAGAAGGCACATGATGTAATTTTGCCTCATTACTAGTGATGTTAATTCTATATATATATATTTTTTTAAAGATTTTATTTTTTACTTATTTGACAGAGAGAGATCACAAGTAGGCAGAGAGAGGCAGGCAGAGAGAGGAAGGGAAGCAGGCTTCCTGCTGAGCAGAGAGCCCGATGTGGGGCTTGATCCCAGGACCCTGAGATCATGACCCGAGCCGAAGGCAGCGGCTTAACCCACTGAGCCACCCAGGTGCCCCGTTAATTCTATATTTTTAAAGATGTTTATCTCTTCTAGTTGTTTCAAGCAAGTGTTCATGGTTTAGATTTTTTCTTTAAATTGCCTTTTGATTTTTATTTATGAGTTAGAGAAGCACTTTAAAAAAGAAATTATGTTAACTTTAAAAGCACTTAAAACCTGATTTACGGCAACAGCTTTTGCATATTGGCTGATAAAGATACCTGGAGATTGAAGCCAGTCCACTGTGCCGTGTTGCCTTGAAACTCCTGCCATGGCTCCTTGGGTGACTGAGAAGAGTGCGGTAAAAATCAGAGTAATAGATGGCCTAAGTTTTCCAGTTCATGGTTTTTTCTGCTTACTGTTAAGTTAAATTTAGCGTCTGAATGAGCTGCTGTAAATAAAGTTTCTTCATTTTTATCTTAATAGATTTCCTTTCCTTATTTGTGGTGGTGGTTTGTTTTCAGGTGTGACAGGGAGCCAGGTATAGAATCGTATACTCTGTTTTTCTTAACGGCTTTCATGTTGCTGAGTCATTCGTAAATATTTTGTTCCTGTTTAGCATTTAGGAAGGGCCTTTGCCTAAAACCTACATACAGTACTGCTATTTTGATGTCCATTCTTTTCTCCCTCCCTGTGCACTACGCTGGTAGATTACCTGTGCTGGGGGATAGGGGAGACCCTTAGCACATAAGCGGTTTTATACTTTTTCAGATCCCCCTGAGTCCAGCCATGCCGGCTCCCATTTGGCTGTGACCGCCCAGCATGCCCTATGCTGAGATGATCCCGTTACTGAAGGACTGCTCAAGCGGGGAGCCGGCCTGTTGGGAGGGGGTTGGGTGAGTTAATTTCTTTCATTTTTAAGAAAAAAAAATGATGCGGTGTGGTTTGGCAAGAAAAACACACCTTATACATAAAAATAGGTTGCTGGACCCTCTCGTAGCTGAGACATCCCAGCTTTTTCTTACATCATTTCTGCATAATATGGTCTTTAAGTAGAAGAAATTGAAAGAACCTTACGATAATTTGAGTGACTTTTAAACAGGAAAAAAAAAGCAAATTATGAAGTGGCCCTTATAATAGACCCTATTAAGAGATAAGTGGTAAAATTGAAACATACTCACACTAGTCTCCTTTTTAGTGATAAATTTCATTTTAGAATGACTTCAAATATAGTCTGTTATCCGGAGCATTAGAAGAAGTATCAGCTTTATACTCTGAAGATGTTCCAAGGCTAGTAGAGGCACATATTTGTCGTTGATTTCTGCCAGGGTTGCTTTGGGCCTCCTCCTGTGATTTGTAGGGTGATTCCTGAAACACTGGTCTCTTTGGGGTATTGCTACCATTATTGCCCTTCAGGGAGAGTCCAACGTAAGTCATTTTCGCTTACTCATTTTAACATTTTGAAATCTAGTTGTGGCGAAACAGAACTAGGAAATTCTGCTTCTGGGGAAAGTATCCCCCAAGTTATGGATGGATACTGTTTATATTCCGTAAACTATGAAACCTCTTCGTCAGCTAAGACGCAGGACGATAATTGGGGAACAGAAATAGCCAGCTGGAGGAAAATAACCTGTAATTCCCTTAGTCCTTAAAAGGCAGATTGGCCTTTGAAGTTGGAGACTTGGCCAGGAGAAGGATGTTAGGGGTAGCCCGCTCATTCTTCACAGACCAGGTCTCTCCTATTGGTGCTGCCTGGGTTCTGTGAGTTTGTCTGGTGGTCATGTCCGTACTGTTGCGGTCTTCCTTGACATCGCAGTACAGCTTACTAAATTTTGCCATGCCTGTCTGGTCACGCCTGACAACAGTGTTGGTGTTCCTCCATGTCCTCTCTGGGATCGCTGTCGCTGTGCTGCTTCCCTCATCTTTCTCAAGGGTCTCACGATTTTGTCTTCCATAGTCTGTAGCTGCTTCCTTGCCTGCAGTGTCTCTCATGCTGACCTGCTGCTTCCATGTTGTTTCTCTGATGTTCATCCTTCCCACTTAGAATCCTCGAGTTAGGTTCAAGTCTCCAAGTGCCTTCTGTGCTTAGTTGCTTTTGGTAACAGAAATCACATCTTCTGGAGGTTATCTAGTTTCCATCCTACTCCTTTGAATTTTTGTGAAATTGGCTGTACCTTTTCATTGCTTCAGTATTTAATTTAGTGTGCAGTTCAGCTTTTTTTCTTGGTAATTACATTCTTGAAAGTTCCAAAATCAGCAGTTGGGGTTTTTTTTAAAACACACACTTCAACAGAAACAACGGTATTATGACAAGTTGACTGGTTCTAGCCTGTTAACTAATTCTCCATAAGAGGACAGAAGATGTGTGTCCAGGGGAAAGGGAAGTGAATGGAGAAAGGGACATACCATGTCATCACTGGGTGGCATTTAAGATGCATTTGAGGTACCCGCTTCTGAATTTAAAGGGAGACCACACACTGTCTTTGTATCTTTTGTTGCAGTCATGGGTAAGCTGAACATGTGCATGCCAAAGGTAGCTCGGTGTAGTAGAGCAGGAGAGACCAGGGAAGCGTAGGTTTATGCAAGACAGATTATAATAATGGACTGGAGTTTCACGCGGGTAGGAAGGACAAGGAAGTGAGTGTAGGGAAAGTGTGGTTGAAGTAATGGGTTTAAGGTCCTGGCGGGATTGAAGGATTATAGTTGGGCTACTAGAGGGAGTGAATTTGAAAGCTGGGAGGGATGATGAAAGAGAAGAGTATGAGATTGAGAGTGTAGAGGGCTTAGAGTTAATAACGTATTCATGGGGATGAGTTCTTGATGCGTGGGGAGAGAAAGGGAAGTTTGAGGAACCAGGGGCAGGAGGGCTCCCTGTTTGTCAGCAGTGATTTTTTTTGTTGTGGTATTTTTAATAAAATATGCTTCTTCATTTGGACAAAAAAACTTCATATACTTTTTACTTAAAAGGATATACTGTTCCTTGGAACAGAGGTTTAAAGGCTTACAAATCAGAGTAATTCTTGATTAACTTCTTAGATGTTGCCATTATTTAGATCAGGTATCCTCAGTCTGGGATCCACGGACACACTCTGAAATTGTATGCATAATTTTTGTGTGTTTCTTCTGGGGAAAGGGTGCAAAGATTTCATAAAAGTGTATAAGAATCGCTAGCACTGTATATTAACAGAAAACCAGTTACATAGCAGAAAGGTCTAATTTTACAGTATACATTTTTAAGTCTGGGTATTAAGAGAATTTTGTATTGATGTGGCCAAAACATTAGCTAACATTCATGTCTTTGTTTCTTCAGGGGCATAGTGTCTGTGGGCAGAAATGAATCTGTAGCTTTACCTGGATAGCTGGGGAAGAGGGCCTACATGATGCTTTAATGTTGCTTCTTCAAATTAGTTTTTTTTTTTTTTTTTTTTTTTATTAATTTTGCTCTTGTTCTTAAATTCTAGTACATGACTCTCAACCCTTCTACTAAGAGGAAGAATACTGGATCCCCAGACAGGAAGCCCTCAAAAAAATCCAAGACAGACAACTCTTCTCTGAGTTCACCCCTAAATCCCAAGTTATGGTGTCATGTACACTTGAAGAAGTCCCTGAATGGCTCGCCGCTCAAAGTGAAGAACTCCAAAAATTCCAGATCTCCAGAAGAACATTTGGAAGAAGTGATGAAGATGATGTCGCCCGCCAAGCTCCATAGTAACTTTCACATCCCCAAGAAGGGCCCTCCTGCCAGGAAGTCGGGCAAGCACAACGATAAACCTTTGAAAGCAAAGGGCAGAAGCAAAGGCATCCTTAATGGACAGAAATCTACAGGTAATTCCAAGTCTCCCAAAAAGGGCTTGAAGACTCCTAAAACCAAAATGAAGCAGATGACTCTGTTGGATATGGCCAAAGGCACTCAGAAGATGACACGTGCCCCACGGAACTCTGGGGGTACAGCCAGGTCCTCTAGTAAACCCCACAAACATCTGCCTCCTGCTGCCCTACACCTTATTGCTTACTACAAAGAAAACAAAGACAGGGAGGACAAGAAGAGTGCCCTGTCCTGTGTTATCTCCAAAACAGCTCGCCTTCTCTCCAGCGAAGATAGAGCCCGTCTCCCAGAAGAGCTGCGAAGTCTTGTTCAAAAACGCTTTGAGCTTCTCGAGCACAAAAAGCGGTGGGCCTCGATGTCTGAGGAGCAACGGAAAGAATATTTGAAAAAGAAACGAGAGGAGCTGAAAGAGAAGTTGAAGGAGAAAGCCAAGGAGCGGAGAGAGAAGGAAATGCTTGAGAAGCTAGAAAAACAGAAGAGGTACGAGGACCAGGAGTTATCTGGCAAAAGCCTTCCAGCATTTAGACTGGTGGATACCCCTGAAGGGCTGCCCAACACGCTCTTTGGGGATGTGGCCATGGTGGTGGAGTTCTTGAGCTGTTACTCCGGGCTGCTCTTACCAGATGCTCAGTACCCCATTACTGCTGTGTCCCTCATGGAGGCCTTGAGTGCAGAAAAAGGCGGCTTTTTATACCTCAACAGGGTGTTGGTCATCCTCTTACAGACCTTATTACAGGACGAAATAGCAGAAGACTATGGTGAACTGGGAATGAAGCTGTCGGAGATCCCGCTGACTCTCCATTCTGTTTCAGAGCTGGTGCGGCTCTGCCTGCGCAGATCTGACGTTCAGGAAGAAAGCGAGGGCTCCGACGCAGATGACAATAAGGATTCGGCGCCATTTGAGGACAATGAGGTACAAGATGAGTTCCTAGAGAAGCTGGAGACCTCGGAGTTTTTTGAACTAACGTCAGAGGAGAAGCTGCAGATCTTGACTGCTCTCTGCCACCGCATCCTCATGACGTACTCGGTGCAGGACCACATGGAAACCAGACAGCAGATGTCGGCAGAGCTGTGGAAAGAGCGGCTCGCTGTCCTGAAGGAAGAGAATGATAAGAAGAGAGCAGAGAAACAGAAAAGGAAAGAAATGGAAGCCAGAAACAAGGAAAACGGGAAAGAGGAGAACGGCCTAGGCAAACCGGATAGGAAAAAAGAGGTGGTGAAGTTTGAGCCCCACGTGGACCTGGGAGCCGAAGACATGATCAGTGCTGTGAAGAGCCGGCGGCTGCTCGCCATCCAGGCCAAGAAGGAGCGTGAGATCCAGGAGAGAGAGATGAAAGGTAAGGGCTTGTGTTGAGAGCAGAAGGGAGACCCTTTAGAAGACCGTAGAAGGAAGGAAGTTGCCAGGGTGACGGTAGAGGCTCTGTTTGTCGTAACTCTTCAGTTATCTTGGTATGCGGCAGCCCAGACCCCACTGGGTGTGTGATGCTTGGTGGGAGTGTGCAGCCTGGCCTTCTGCAGCTAATGATGGTTTGACTTGGATTGATGTGACGGTGGCATCTTCTCTGGATTTGGTAAAGGACCAAAGTCACAAGTAGACATCGTGGAAAGACTACAGGGCTTGGGAATTGCTGGCCTGGTTTCAAACCCTGCCTCTGACTACGTTGTAGTTTTTTGGGCAAGTTACTCTCTGTGCCTCAGTGTCCTCCTGTGCCGTTAAGATTGTTTTAACAATTGAGTGACAAGGTGTTTGAAGCCCTCAGTGCAGTCGCCAACTGAGATACGGATCTTTCCCTTATTACGATGTACGATTATAAACATTTGGGGCTTTGATAGCACCATTAGATCTGAATTTTTTTTTTTAAAGATTTATTTATTTGATAAAGAGAGAGAGTGTAGACAGTGGGGCAGAGGGAAAGGGAGAGAGAAACACAGACTCTGTGCTGAGTGCAGAGCCCGTTGTGGGGCTTGGTCTCATGACCCTGAGATCACGACCTGAGACGAAACCAAGAGTTGGATGTTCGACCGACTGTGCCACCCAGGTGCCCCAAAGCTGAACATTTTTAAAACCGCTTTATTAAATAGTTCATATACCATACAACTCGTCTATTTATAACATATAACTCATTGTTTTTTAATATATTCACAGGTATGTGCAACTTTAGAACAATTTTAGAACATACTCATCTTCTCAAAAACAAAACCTAAATTCTTTTTTTTTTTTTTTTTCAAGATTTATTTATTTAGGGGCGCCTGGGTGGCTCAGTGGGTTAAATCCTCTGCCTTCGGCTCAGGTCATGATCCCGGGGTCCTGGGATCAAGCCCCGCATCGGGCTCTCTGCTCAGCGGGGAGTCTGCTTCCCCCTCTCTCTCTGCCTGCTTCTCTGCCTACTTATGATTTCTGTCTGTCAAATAAATAAATAAAATCTTAAAAAAAAAAAAAAAAGATTTATTTATTTATTTATTTATTTATTTGACAGACAGGGATCACAGGTAGGCAGAAAGGCAGGCAGAGAGAGAGGAGGAAGCAGACTCCCCGATGAGCAGAGAGCCCGATGTGGGGCTCAGTCCCAGGACCCTGAGATCATGACCTGAGCTGAAGGCAGAGGCTTAACCTGAGCCACCCAGGCGCCCTTATTGGGGTTTTTGGTCTTTAAACTATTTTATTTTATTTTTTTTTAAAGATTTTATTTATTTATTTGACAGAGATCACAAGTAGGCAGAGAGGCAGGCAGAGAGAGAGAGAGGAGGAAGCACGCTCCCTGCTGAGCAGAGAGCCTGATGCGGGGCTCGATCCCAGGACCCTGGGATCATGACCTGAGCTGAAGGCAGAGGCTTTAACCCACTGAGCCACCTAGGCACCCCTCTTTAAACTATTTTATTCGGTGCTGTAGTTTCCAACCGTATCAGTGATTCCAGCTTATAAAGTGAAGATGGTAAAAACCATTTATTTGTCAAAGTTGGATCCTAGATACCTAGAAATAACTTTAGTAGCACTTTCTGAATATATAATAATTTCTTTTAAAACCGATTCTAGTTTATACTACCTAAGTCCACTGAAATGTCTTCACATGGATACAGGTACACTGTGCATCTGTATATACATACGTTTCAGTTTTAAGGACCATATATTGCATTCCAAGTAAAATAGCATGTAGATCAACTTTGTATATATGTAACACTGCCGCTGTATGTTACCTGAAATGTAATGACTTCTCCTTGAGTTTCTGAAGTGTTCCTGTGTGTGTTTTAACACAGGACAAAGGAAAGGTCATGTGATACTCTTAAATTGATACAGAGAAATAAGGGACAAAGAAAGTTAATATTTTGCCAAGGGTCAGTTCACTTCATTTGTATCTAGTTCAGTGCTGTAACCTCTGGAACCCAGCTTGGTCTTTTGATGACTTGCCCAAGGTGGCTTTTTGTTTGTGGCCCTAAGAGAAAGAACTTTTCCTTGATTGTGATTTGGCCATTACTGTTTGTATTGTTTAGCTTTGTACTGACTTCTGCTGTAAGCACTGTTGAGAACATTTTGTTCCATTCAGGAGAGCAAACTTTGTTAAAGGAAGTGAGTATCATGTCGGTTTTGAATAAATGAGATGTGTCTTAATTTTTTAAAGTAGCCTCTTTAGACTGATGTATTTTCCAGATTCTCAGCATAATTAATGTAGATGTTCTCTCATCAGTAGAGTATCAGTATTACACATTCTGGTGTTGTAAATAGTAGTGCTGGGTTTCAGAATTTTTTACAGTTATAGAAAAATTTAAAAGGCAAGATTACTGGGCTATTCTTGTTGAGAGAAATTTCTGTCTGGATGAAATAAACCCATATAATGAATGATCAGAAATAAATTAATAAAATTTTCTTTTTGAGATTTTATTTATTTTAGATTGCACAAGCATGGGCAAGGACGGGAGAGAGAGAATCTCAAGCAGAGAGAGTTGGTGCAGGGCTTGATTCTACGACCTGAACTGAAACCAAGAGTCGGGTGCTTAACCTGAGCCACCCAGGCACCCCCACACTTTTTTTCATCATTAACAGTAGTGACTTGCTGAATAACTCCCCAGATAGTATTCAGTACGTAGTGATTGCTTTTATGCACAAGTGCTTGCCTGCCTTTGCTCTCCCTCTGGTCTTTTTTCTTGCCACCAAGGCTACTAAGCTTAATTACGGTCACATTCCTCAGGACTGAAATAGGTTTTATTTTGAAATGGCTGTTCTGGTTTTATTCATTCTGGTCATTTTGAGGATCAATTAATTCCATTTAAAAACTTCTAATAGAACTTATTATGAAATAAAGTCTAGTTAATTCTTTTGATCTTTATCAGTGAAACTAGAACGCGAAGCTGAAGAAGAACGAATACGAAGGCACAAGGCAGCTGCTGAGAAGGCTTTCCAGGAGGGAATTGCCAAGGCAAAGCTAGTCATGCGTAGGACTCCTATTGGTACAGATCGAAACCATAACAGGTAACTTATTAGACTTAATTTTTGTCACCTTTTAGGGTTATTATATTGTTCCTAGTTTTGAAACGCTAAAGTTTTAGAATAAATAAGCTATTCCTTTTATGGATTTTGGAAACCCTCGCTTATCACACATTTATTGAATGTTTTCTATGCCACATGCTGGAGTTACACAGTTAAATAAGACACCAACCTGTTCTTTTTTTTTTTTTTTTTTTTTTTAAGATTTTATTTATTTATTTGACAGAGATCACAAGTAGGCAGAGAGGCAGGCAAGGGGAGGGGGAAGCAGGCTCCCCAACGAGCAGGGAGCCCGATGAGGAGCTCGATCCCAGGACCCTGAGATGACCTGAGCCGAAGGCAGAGGCTTAACCCACTGAGCCACCCAGGTGTCCCAGACACAAAGCTATTCTTTAAAAAAAAAAAAAAAAAGAGAAGGGGTGCCTGGGTGGCTCAGTGGGTTTAAGCCTCTGCCTTCAGCCCAGGTCATGATCTCAGGGTCCTGGGATCGAGTCCTGAATCGGGCTCTCTGCTCGGCGGAGAGCCTGCTTCCCCCTCTCTCTCTGCCTGCCTCTCTGACTACTTGTGATCTCTCTCTCTCCCTCTGTGTCCAAAAAAAAAAAAAAAAAAAAAAAAAAAGACACAACCCTGTTTTTGAAGATACCACAAATAGGAAACCTAAATTATTATGATGGGTGAAACGTAACCCAAACAGAGGTCATTGGAAATGGTAATACATTTTACATGTGTGTATTGTGTGGAACCTGAAGTAGAAAATACTAGAAGTTATAAAAATTATAGATACGAAGCGAACCTCATATTTCAAAAATGTTGGTATTCTGTGCCTTACTTTATCAGTTGTATGGGTCTGAACGTTCAGTGATACTCTGTAATCATCTCCCCCAACAGTAAAGTCATCCCATGCTCGTGATCTGTCATTATTTTATTAACATATGGTTGTGATTTATAGGTACTGGCTCTTCTCAGATGAAGTTCCGGGATTGTTCATTGAAAAAGGCTGGGTGCATGACAGCATCGACTATCGATTCAGTCACCGCAAAGATCGTGCGGACCCTGCTGATGAAGATTACTGTCCCCGGAGTATGTGTATCTATCAGTTCTTATACCCTGCTCGAGTAGACTCATTAGTAAGGACTGTCTTTCCTTGGTCACTTTTTCTTTTTGCAAAGTTTATTTTCTCCTTAGGTAGATGTATTTGAGTGGGGTGGGAAGATATGAAATGCATTGAAGAAGGAAGGAAACTAACATTTGGTTATGAGCTTTGTTCCAGGTGTAGTGTGGAAAGATAACGAGCTTGAACATTAGGTTATTAGGGTATTAGATTTTTTTTTAAAGATTTTATTTATTTGTTTGACACAGAGAGAGCAAGAGAGGGAATACAAGCAGGGGGAGTGGGAGAGAGAGAAGCAGGCTTCCCGCTGAGCAGGGAGCCCGATATGGGGCTCGATCCCAGGACCCTAGGATCATGACCTTGAGCCAAAGGCAGGCGTTTAATGACTGAGCCACCCACGCACCCCTGGGTATTAGATTTTATACAAGTAGTCTCCAATCTCTCTTCCTTGGAAGTCTCTCTGTAGGTACCTTAATGGCTGGAATTGAGGCAAAGGGCTAAGAAGACAACTTCATAATTTATTTATTCAGTATGTACGGAGCATCTCATCTGTGCCAACCAGTTTTTCATGTTTTGTGGTACCAGAAAGCAAACAAGACAGATACGGTCCTAAATGTCATTTAATTAAAGTTCTAGTGAGGGGGGAACACAGCAAATAACTAAAAATAAGTGACTGAGAAAGAGTCATAAAGGGGCACTGATGTTCTTTTTCTTGGCCTGGGTTCTGATTACATGGGTGTGTTTGATTTGTAAAATAAATAAGTATAATTTTATAAATGTGCATATGTATTTTTTTGAGGCGCATATATACATTGAACATAGATTATGTGTAACATTTGTAACATTGTAACATTTGCATATGCTGTTTCAAGAAAGAAGTAAAAAGGGGGGCTGCCTGGGTGGTTCAGTCCTTAAGCGTCTGCCTTCAGCTCAGGTCATGAACCTGAGGTCCTGGGGTTGAGCCCTGCATCGGGGCTGCATGCTCAGCAGGGTGCCTGCTTCTCTCTCCCACTCCCCCTGCTTGTGTTCCCTGTGTCTCTATCTCTCTGTCAAATAAATAAAATCTTAAAAAAAAATAAAATAAAAATTTTTTTTTAATTAAGAAAACCCAAGTGGTCAGGTTAGATCAGTTTCCCTCATCCTCAGCATTATTGACATTTTGGGTCAGATCTTTTTTTTTTTTGTTTTAAGAGTTGGGGCAGGGTAGAGGGAGAGAGAGGGAATGCGACGCAGGGCCCGGTCCCATGATACTGGGATCATAACTTGAGCGAAATCAAGAATTGGACGCTTAAGTGACTAAGCCACGCAGACACCCTCAGGTCATTCTTCATAGGTGGGGCTGGTCCTGTGCGTTGTCACACATTTAGCAGCGTCCCTGGCCTCAGTGGAATAAGTGCTAATAGTCACAATTAAATGTGTCTCCAGACATTGCCACGTGTCTACTGGGAGGCAGCCTGGCTCCCTGTGGAGAACCACTGGGTTAAATGATCTGCAGGCTTCCTGCTAGCTCTGCTTTCTGTGACCTAATGAAGATTGCTTCTCAAGTATTAGATCGTTAGTTTCTTTTTTTTTTTTTTTAAAGATTTTATTGATTTATTCAACAGAGAGAGAGAGAGAGAGATCACAAGTAGGCAGAGAAGCAGGCAGAGAGAGAGGGGGAAGCAGGCTCCCTGCTGTGCAGAGAGCCTGATGTGGGGCTCGATCCCAGGACCCTGAGATCATGACCTGAGCCGAAGGTAGAGGCCTAACCCACTGAGCCACCCAGGCGCCCCAGATCGTTAGTTTCTTTCAGAAATCTTTTTAAAGGCAGTTTTCCTTCATTTTAGAGACGCTCCTATCCTAAACTTAAAACTCACAAAATTGTTAAATAAGGAAATTAATATGTAGCCCAAAGTTTCACAGTTAAGGCCTTTTTATACTGTGTTAATAATAGTAAGTGTTACGTTGCAGCACTTTGTTAGAAAAATCTAGTTTTGGTAGAGCTCATAAATACTTACATAAGGGCAGTTATGTTTGAGAGTGGTAAATGTACAGTCAGGACCTTTAGACCTGGGGGAGAGTTTCCAGCCGGAGGAGACACTGATTTTATGATGTTTTCCAGAAGCTTAATGGGTGTCCTTAGAAATCAGGTCTCCATAGTTGTAGCTCCCAGGAGAAGATGGGCGTTCCGGGCCCGCACTCCTGGCGCATCCTGGTGGGCATTGTTGCTTCGTGTTCTCATCCCGGCAGGGCCCGGTGTCTTCAAAATCACTTGACTCAGAAGACTAACAGGGTGATGTGTTTGTAGTGCAGGGAAGGTGCAGAGGGTTAAAGGGGAGAGGGAGGGAGCAGGGGACAGAACCAGTTACAGTGTTAGGTGAGGCCTCAGAGATTGGCTTAAGATCCATCTGTATTCATGTCCTACTGTGTGGGAGCTGACTTAGAAAAAAGTTTATCGTGTTTGACTTTTTGAAGTCTCCAGGGGTAAGTCTATAGTAGTTTATGTGTTTCATTTGTGCCTTTGTGCTAAGCCTCACGTACAAAGAGCAAATGGATTATTTGCTTTGATAGAAAGTTATTCAGTCATCCTGCTCGATTCTGAGTTGTGATACTCTGAACTTTGAACTGTGCAGCTGTTCAGCTGTGTAGCCAGCAGGCATCTCAAAGAAGGTGCTGTGTGTAAGCTGTTTAAGAGAGGCAGCGCCTGTCGCACACTGGATGGCTTGGATAGGCAGTATCTGTGTAACTGGTTGTTGGATTGGCACTGCGTCCTGCTTAGGTTTGAAATGCGGGATTGGGGGGCGCCTGGGTGGCTCCGTTGATAAGCGTCTGCCTTTGGCTCAGGTCCTGATCCCGGGGTCCTGGGATGGAGCCCCACATCAGGCTCTGCCCCTCAGTGGGAAGCCTGCTTCTCCCTCTCCCACTCCCCCTGCTTGTTTTCCTTCTCTCTCTATCAAATAATTATAAATAAAATCTTTTAAAAAATGTGGAATTGGGTATTTACTGTATTAACCTAATGTTTACATTTTTTTTTAGGTAAGAAAGCAAACCTAGGCAAAAATGCAAATGTGAATGCACAACCTGGACCAGCAACAGAAGTTGCTGTAGAGACCACCATACCCAAACAAGGCCAGAATCTATGGTAACGTGAGCATTCATTGGGTTGCTCTTTCTTTTTCCTTTTTCATGTTAAGAAAATGTTTAATCTAGTGACACCAGTCTTTACATCTTTTAAGATCATTTTGTATGATTTTGATTTCTTAGATATGTAAACTTACTGCTTTAAAAGCAGGTTTGAGTTTTGTTTTGTTGGTTTTTTTTTTTTTATAAGAATATATTCTAAGCTTTGGAATTTTATTTCCCTGTTATAACATAAGTTTGTCTATGTTCTTGGGGTAGATACAGGATTTTCATCTTTATTTATTATTTTTTAAAAGATTTTGTTTATTTATTTGGCAGATAGAGATCACAAGTAGGCAGAGAGGCAGGCAGAGACAGAGAGGAGGAAGCAGGCTCCCTCCTGAGCAGAGAACCTCATGTGGGGCTCGATCCCAGGACCCTGAGATCATGACCTGAGCCAAAGGCAGAGGATTAACCCACTGAGCCACCCAGGCGCCCCAGGATTTTCATCTTTATTAATTGAAGAATATAAATTGTATACATAGCCATTGATTTGCTTTTATGTCCATATTCTTTTAGGCAGGGAAACAGGTTTTGAGAGGGTCCCTTTTATTTTGTGATTGCATTAACTGTTTTGCCTATGATTCCTTTTGGTTTAATGACCTTCTATCTTTAATTTTTAGATGTAGGTTTACTCTTCTCAGGTATATGGACAAGTGTGTCAGTTGACTTTATAAAATTTGTCTCGTATTTTATTTTATTATTTTTTTAAAGATTTTATTTATTTATTTGACTGACAGAGATCACAAGTAGGCAGAGAGGCAGGCAGGGAGAGAGGAAGGGAAGCAGGCTCCCCGCTGAGCAGAGACCTGATGCGGGGCTCGATCCCAGGACCCCGAGATCATGACCCAAGCCGAGGGCAGAGGCTTTAACCCACTGAGCCACCCAGGCGCCCTGTCTCGTATTTTAGTAGGAAACGTTGGCTCTGGTATCCTAGGACAAAGTTAGCGTTAGGTCTCATTAAAATAATAAATTATCTGTTCTGCTTGTGAGCAAGATTGGAATTCTGTTCTCCCAACTTCCACCAACAATCTTAGACCCGTTCTTAGTATTTAATTATTTTTCAGAGTTACTGATTCTGTGTTGCTCCTTTTAGGTTTTTATGTGATAGTCAGAAGGAACTGGATGAGTTGCTAAATTGCCTTCACCCTCAGGGAATAAGAGAAAGTCAACTTAAAGAGAGACTCGAGAAGAGGTAAGGATTTTCATCTTGCTCTTCACGGCTTCTCTTCAACAGATGTATTATAAATGTCTTAGGGCTTATTTGTTTATCCGTAAAAGCAGTAAATTTAAATTTTAAAAAAGTATCTGTAACCCTTTTATGTTCTTATTGCTTGGGAGTTTCTTGACTCATGCTTATTTGGAAAAGCATATTTTTAAATGTATTTTTTTAAAATTTTAATCAATTAATTATTTGTTTATTTTAATTTTTAAATAAACATATAATGTATTATTAGCCCCAGGGGTACAGGTCTGTGAATCGCCAGGTTTACACACTTCACAGCACTCACAGCATAGCACATACCCTCCCCAGTGTCCATAACCCCACCACCCTATCCTTACCCCCCTTTCCCGGGCCACTCTCAGTTTGTTTTGTGACATTAAGAGTCTCTTATGGTTTGTCTCCCTCCTGATCTCATCTTGTTTCATTTATTCTTTTCCTACCCCCCAAACCCTACACCTTGCATCTTCCTCATATCAGAGAGATCTTACGATAGTTGTCTTTCTCCGATTGACTTATTTCGTGGAAAAGCATATTTTTAAGCCACGTAGATACAGTGCAGCAGGATTGTTCAGTGATGCCTGTGTGTCATGCACTGAGCTAGACCCTCATTAGAGTTAGGCAGCCTTACAAGGGCCGTTCCACGGCAGTTGGCATTCAGAAGTATTGTCAGTATTGGAAACAGCCAGAAAATGAAAACTCCCTGAATGTCCGTCAGCTGACGGATAAACAAAACGTGGCACATCCATAAATTCAGCCACGACACGGAACCAAGTACCGACACGTGCTATAGCTGTAACAGGGCTGAAACGAAAAACCGGACTGAATCAAAGAAGCTAGACAAAGGCCCATATCGTATGGTTCTGTTTATTTATTTTTATTATTTATTTGAGAGAGAGATTGCAGAGAGAGAGAGAGCATGAGTTGCGGGGGAGGCACAAGGACTGAGGGAGAAACAGGCTCCCCACTGCGCAGGGAGCCCAACGCAGGGCTCCAGCCCAGGACTCTGGGATCGTGACCTGAGCCGAAGGCAGACACTCAACCAACTGAGCCACCCAGGTGTCCCCAGTAGGATTCCATTTATGTAAGACTTTCAGAGTAGGCACATCCACAGGGACAGAAAGAAAGTAGACTTGTGGTTTCCATGGGCTGGGGGAAGGGGAGAATTGGGATTGAGGTATGGGGTTTCTTCTGGGGTGATGAAAGTTTTGGAATTAGGTAGTTTTGATGGTTCCACAACATTTAAAACCACTGCAAATGTATGCTTTAAAGTGGTGAGTTTAAGACTGAATTGTATTTTTAGAAAGCTCCAAACAAATACTATCTACATCTAGATTTGCTGGTGTCCTTCCTGTTCTAGGCATTGCTCCAGTCAAAGCCAGGGCAAGGTTTTGGTTTAAGGCCACCTTTAGTATCTGACTGCATGCTTTCATAGTTGAATTTGGGTTTGATTGAAGGAAGAAGTAATGTATCATTTAGTCTACAGTTGCAAGTTTTCTAGACTTTTGTGAATGATAATGGATGGGTACATGATACTAGTCCACTGCTTAATGCATAAATTAATTAAAATTGTATTCAGAATCATGGTGTCTTATTGAGATGAACAGGTAAATTAAGAAAGACAAGGGAAAATGTCAGTATATCAGTGACAAAATAGTGTGGTTCTATGATGTGCCTTCTGTTTGTTAACATATTTGATTGTCAGGGTTAAAAACAAAACTTACACTTTGTTTGGTTTTGTTGAGCATTAAAAAAAACCCCAAACACATATCTTGCTTTTCTGGGTTTGAACTTTATAGAGGCTGTCAAGCATACATAATCTTGGAGAATTAATGTTCCTTCCTTAGCATTATTTTACTATAGAGCCATCCATGTTTCATACTGTTTTGTTTTGTGTTTAATTGAAGTATAGTTAATATGCAAAATACTGGTGATTTCAGGTTTCATCCATGATTTTTATAACCGAGTTCTGTCATTTTCCTTTCTATATACTGTTCTGGGAATTTGTATAATCTTTGTGATTCTACTTTATTTATCTCTTCTCTTGCTGGTGCTTATTTGTATTTCCTTTGGGTAGCCAAGGGGATAGGATACTGTATCATAGACCATTTGAAGTTCACATTTATAAAACAGTTATATATGCTCTTTACAAGAAAGTAAGTGATGAAGGATGTAAATTACAGGGTGTGCACTCAGTTACTCATTTCAATAAAAAAAGGAGTTTATTTTTTTTAAGATTTTATTTATTTGAGAGAGACTACAAGCTGGGTAAGGAGAAAGAAAAAAGCAGACGTGAGCAGGGTGATGGGCAGAGAGAGAAGGAGAAGCTGACTCTCCTCTGAGCAGGGAGCCCGATGTTGGGGGCTTAGGCCCATGACTCCAGGATCGCGAACTGAGCTGAAAGCAGACGCTTAACCAGCTGAGCCACCCCAGTGCCCCTCAGTAAAAAAGGAATTTAAAAACAAAATGATACCAAGCCAGTTGGAAACAGAGAAGTAAAGTTTTTTCTATCCATTGAACATTTATAAAAATTAACCATATACTTAGCCACAAAAGCAGTCTCAACGGATTTTAAAAATAGAGAGTTTCAGGATATGTTCTCTGATCAGATTGCAATAAAATTAGAAACAAATTCCTTAAACATGTCCAAAGAGATCTTAACTGACAGGCAGTTAAACACATTCATAGATAACGTCAAAGAAGAAAATAAAGCGAATTCTGCAAAGCAAGGTAAATCCTTTGCAAGAAAACCAGTGGGACACAATGAAGCTGTATTCAGAGGAAAATAATATTAAAAATGCTTATTTAGGGGCGCCTGGGTGGCTCAGTGGGTTAAAGCCTCTGCCTTCAGCTCAAGTCATGATCCCAGGGTCTTGGGATTGAGCCCTGCATCGGGCTCTCAGCTCAGCAGGGAGCCTGCTTCCCTTCCTCTCTCTCTCTGCCTGCCTCTCTGCCTACTTGTGATCTCTCTCTGTCAAATGAAAAAAAAAAAAAAAAAAGAACGAAATGGGAGGGGCGCCTGGGTGGCTCAGTCATTGAGTATCTGCCTTCGGTTTGGGTCATGATCCCATGGTCCTGAGATCGAGTCCCTCATTGGGCTCCCCGCTCTGTGGGGAGCCTGCTTCTCCCTCTCCCACTCCCCCAGCTTGTGTTTCATCTCTTGCGGTCTCTCTCTCTCTCTGTCAAATAAATAAATAGATCTTAAAAAAAAAAAAAAAAAAAAGAATGAAATGGGAACTTAGTATACTTCAGCTGAGATGACCTTGAGCTCAAGTTTGCATTTTGTTGTAAGAAACCAACAGTGAAGCTTATGGTCTCACCAGAGTGTGTGGCTGGGAACTCAGCGGGTCAGTCTTTAATGTGAGAGTGAACTTGGAGGTCCTTGTGTAGAATTTCAGCCGTTTTGACATTTTTACTATGTTATGAGGCATTCTGGCAGGTGATTTAAAGTTGTCTCATGTTGGCAGCATTTCCTGTAGCTGACATGAGCAAATGGTTATTCTCTCTGGAGGAGCCCAGCTTCAAACCAGGCCTCAAAAGAATTTCCACAGATAAAATCCCGAGAAATACATGGTGAAAAGGTTAAAAAAAAAAAAACACACAGACCAGGAACCATGAATGAGAGCTAGGTGTTAAGCAGGACACTTCAGGTACTGGGATTATCAAATACCAAAAATAAGAAGCGTGTTTTTCAAATGAATCAAGAATAAGACAAATTTGAAAATTTGTACAAGAAACACAAAACTAAAGAGATCACCAAGGAGAAATGAAGATCTGAGTAAGTCTTCTAGAAATGAGACCTGTCATTCAGAGTTTCTTTATTTTCCCTTCTTGCTCCCCAACTTTTCTAGGTACCAGGACATAATTCACTCTATTCATCTGGCCCGGAAGCCAAATTTGGGTCTAAAATCCTGTGATGGCAACCAGGAGCTTTTAAACTTTCTTCGTAGTGATCTCATTGAAGTTGCAACTAGGTTACAAAAGGGGGGACTTGGTTATGTGGAAGAAACATCGGAATTTGAAGCCCGGGTAAGAACATAAGCAAACACCCTTAGGAGATCTGTAACTCATGGAAACTCCAGCTGGAATTATTCCCTGATATTGTTCTTGACTTCCCCGTATGACCCTGGAAATCATGTGTGGGTTTGTTTTAAAAGACCTGTGGAACCAAAAATTCTCCATGTACATTTGATACTTTTCCTTTGATATTCAGAAAAATCTAAGTGGCTTGGATCCTTTATTCAAAAAGAGCTTTTCTGGTTTTGTTTTTTTAAGATTTTATTATTTTTTAAAAAGACTATTTGAGAGCAAGTGAGCACGAGCCGGGGGAGTAGGGGAAAGGGAGAGGGGAGAAGCAGACTTCCCACTTGAGCAGGGAGCCCAACACAGGGCTGATCCTAGGACCCTGAGATTATGACCTGATCTGAAGTCAGACCCTTCATCAGCTGAGCCACCCAGGCGCCTCTAAGATTTATTTTATTTTTTTTATTTTTATTTTTTATTTTTTAAAAAGATTTTATTTATTTGACAGATCACAAGTTGGCAGAGAGGCAGGCGGGGGGGGTGGGGACAGGCTCCCCACTGAGCAGAGAGCCCGATGTGGGGCTCTATCCCAGGACCCTGGGATCTGACCTGAGCCGAAGGCAGAGGCTCAACCCACTGAGCCACCCAGGCGCCCCTAATTTTAAATAATAAAGTCCACGTAACTCGGAGGACGCTAATAATTATGGGTCTTTTCAGATCACTCATATGCATTACACCATGTGTATTAGTCCTATGTTTTGAGCGGTTGCATCTTTTTTCTCAATTTATAGAAGTACATTCCATTTTTTTCAATCTTTATATCACTTTGGGGTACATAAAATAGCCCATGGAGTTGATAGGATAAATCTTCTACTGTTAAGACTTTTGTATTTTTATTTCTTTGCTATTAGAATTAGCATATTATATATGCATTTTATGTATGTAGCTTTCTCTTTCTCCTTTATTTTTTTATTTAATTTTTTTAAAGATTTTATTTATTTATTTGACAGAGAGAGATCACAAGTAGATGGAGAGGCAGGCAGAGAGAGAGAGGGAAGCAGGATCCCTGCCGAGCAGAGAACCCGATGCGAGACTCGATCCCAGGACCCTGAGATCATGACCTGAGCTGAAGGCAGCGGCCTATCTCACTGAGCCACCCAGGCGCCCTCTTTCTCCTTTATTTTTATTTATTTATTTTTTTAAAGTAACCTCAGTACCCACTGTGGGGCTTAATCTCACAGTCCTGAGATTTAGAGTCATGGGCTCTACAAAGTGAGCCAGCCAGGCACCCTCACTCTTTTTTTTTTTTTTTTTAAACTAGTCTGGTTATGAATTCATGGTACATTTTGTAAGAAAAAGGATATAAATATCTGTATTGTTCTAATGATTTTTTACTTTATTTTTTTAAAGGTTGTATTTATTTGTCAGAGAGAGAGAGCACTAGCAGGGGTAGCAGCAGGCAGAGCAGGCATAGGGAAAAGCAGGCTCTCTGCTGATCAGGGAGCCCCATACAGGACTCGAGCCCAGCATCCTGGGATCATGACCTGAGCTGAAGGCAGCTGCTTAACCCACTGAGCCACCCAGGTGTTCCTGTTCTAATGATCTTTTAAGGAATTATTCAACACTAAGTATTTTTGCCAGTTTTAAATATAATACTTAACTTTTTTTTGTTGTTTATTCATTTATTTAAAGATTTTGTTTGAGAGAGAGAGAGCGCATGAGAAGGGGGAGTGTCAGAGGGAGAAGCAGACTCCCCTCTGAGTAGGGAGCCTGATGGGCGACTCGATCCTGGGACTCCAGGATCATGATCTGAGCCAAAGGTAGTCACTTAACCAACTGAGCCACCCAGGTCCCCTACTTTTTTGTTTATTTAGCAGATATTTACCATTTGCCTACTTTGTGCCGAACCCAGGCTCACACACCCTGCTAACATTGGGTTATCATCATTTTTTGTTTCTCTTTGTAGTTACAAAATGGTATTTTTTTAATTGACATGTTTTGCATGTCTGAGAAGGTAACGTTCATTCAAGAGTGTGACTTGGATCAAAGTGATTTAGCTTCTGTCCTTATGCATAAAATAGATGCGAGGCTTAGATGACACCGAGTATGGAAAGTGGATTACCTGGCTTACAGTGTGTGAGCTATGTAGTGGGTCAGTAAATGTTTATTTTCCTTCTCAGTTTTTCTTTCCCCTGAGTCTGTCGTTCGCACGTAGTAAGCACTCGGTTGCTGAGTGAATGAATGAGCTCCCTAACTTCCTAAATTAAGTAGAGTGAGTTTCAGCATCCCGTGGGTCTCATTGTTGGGGAAATGGAAGTAGTCAGCTTCTTTTAAACCTATAAACCACCCACTGAACTGAGAGGACCAAGGTAAATTCATGTGGTGTGACCCGTTTGGGGCCCAGATTGATCTGAATTTAGTCAAGGATGGTTTCCTTCTTTTTTCCCCCTATCAGACAGCATTCGTTATTTTGAGTAAATACAGAATTTTATTACCACATGTGGGGAGGGGTTAGCTTCAGTGAAAGACCTTTACCTCCTAGGAAAACCCCCTGTGAAGTTGCTTTTGGATAAACTTATGCTGAAACTGGTGGGGAGTTGCCACCGGACAGCCTTACGATTAACTTCCCCCACAATGCACGTCAAGAGTAGTGCAGAGGTGACCGGAGTCCCGGTGTGGGGAGGAGGGGAGAGTCTCCTGTCACCTCAGCCTTTCGTTCATTCTGTTGTTTCTGTCGTTTCCTGTAGGTGATCTCGTTAGAGAAACTGAAGGATTTTGGTGAGTGTGTGATTGCCCTACAAGCCAGCGTCATAAAGAAGTTTCTCCAAGGCTTCATGGCTCCCAGGCAGAAGAGGAGAAAGCTCCAAAGCGAAGATTCAGCAAAGATGGAGGAGGTGGACGAAGAGAAGAAGCTGGCGGAGGAGGCGGAGGTACGTTGTTCGCGAAGATGGGTTTTGTGCCTGGGGGCATGGCTGTGATTCTAAATGGGCTCACCCGGCGCTTGTGCCTCCTTAAAGCCCCGTGTCCTGAGCAGGTGTTCATTTTCCTCACTTCTACTAAATGCTCTGGTTTTCACACTGGTCTGTGGAGCACAGCTGGACAATGTCTCCGAGGGTCCCATCCCCTTTTACCGGGGCTGATGGCTTTTTAAAAGGCGGTAGCAGTTTATAAATTTTTAAAAATGGTGGTAAAATCACATAAGGAGCAATGTGGCATCTTAACTGTTGTATGTCGTGTGTTGTTATGTACATTCACGGTGTTGTGCACCTGTCACCGCCATCCATCTCCAGAATGTTCTCATCTTCCCAGACTGAAACTGTCCCCACCAAAGACTACACTACCCGTTTCGCTGTCCCCTTGACCCCTGGCAACCCCATTTTCTTTCTGGGTCTGTGGGTTCAACTAACTCTGAATAGTGTTACATAGAAGTGGAATCACCGTATATGTCTTTTCGTGACTAGTTTGTTTAACTTAGCGTAATGTTTGCAAAGCTCATCTCTGTTGCGTTATGTGCTAGAATTTCCCTTTAGGACCTAGTAATGTTCCACTCTGTGTATATGCCTCGTTGTGTGTTCATCCAGTGGTGCACACTTGGGTCCCTTCCACCTCCTGGCTGTTGTGGATGCGGTGCTGTGGGCCTTGAGAGTTAGTTTGGAACCTCTAGCAGGGGATGCCGCTGTGTGCCCTTAGTTGAAGGACGAAGGATGATCCTGTGTGTTGGAGAAGGTTGTCCTTTGTGGCAGGTGCATGGCCTCAGGAGGGCTGCGCAGTGAGGGAGGGAGGAGACTGCCAGCCAGCCAGCCGCACCAGCCAGGCGTCCTGGAGAACTGTGGGGTGACCGGTGTCACAGCCAGATGGCCCTCACGTCCAGTAATGCTGCTGGGAGCACGGGCGTACGGCTGTCTGTTCCAGTTCTTACTTTCAGTTCTTCTGGCTCTATACCCAGAGGTAGAGCTGCTGCATCGTGTAGTAATTCTCTTTAGCTTCTTCAAGAACCGCCTTGTTTCTGCGGCGGCCACACCATTTTCAGTGCCCGACGGTGGTGCACGGGGTTCTCGCTTCTCTACATTCTTGCCAGCGCCCGTCACGTTCTCTTTCTGTCTTTCTCTGATTGCAGGCATGCTGACGGGTGCGAGGTGGTAGTTCACGGTTTTGATCTGCATTTCCCTAATAATTAGTGAGGGGCAGTGTGCTTGTCGGCCGTTTGTCTTCTTTGGGGGAAATGTGTCTTGGAGTAGTCAGCGGTCTTTTAATTGAATTGTGTCTTTCTGTCACTGAGTTATGTAGGTTCTTCATATGTTCTGGGCATTAATCCTTTATCAGTTGTATGATTTGCAACTACATTCTCCCATCCTGTGAGCTGCCTTTTCATCCTGTTGATGCCATCCTCTGATGCACAAAAGTTTTCCAGTTTGGTGAATTCCGCCGCACCAGTTTTCTTCTGTTGCTTCTGCTTGCAATGTCGTATCCAGGAGATCCTTGCCAAATTCAGCGCCACACATCCAGTGTCTTTCCCTCTCTTTTTTCTACCTGTCCTAGAACTTTTAGCTTTTACGTTTAAATCTTTGATCCATTTTGAATTAGTATTTGTCGACTAAGTGTCTAAATTCAGTGTTTTGCAAGTGGATATCCAGTTTTCTGGTTTTTAAGTTTTATTTATTTTTAAAGATTTTATTTATTTATTTGACAGAGAGAGATCACAAGTAGGCAGAGAGGCAGGCAGAGAGAGGGAGGGAAGCAGGCTCCCTGCCAAGCAGAGAGCCCGATGCGGGACTCGATCCCAGGACCCTGAGATCATGACCTGAGCCGAAGGCAGCGGCTTAACCCACTGAGCCACCCAGGCGCCCCTGGTTTTTAAGTTTTAAAAGTAACATGCTCGTTGTAAGTAAATCCAGTGTGAGAGGTAGGTAAGATATGAAACAACTGCCATCCTAGTTTTGCTCCCCAGGAATCTCACTTTTCATAGTTCACTGTGTTTTCTATATGCACACGAAGACAGTTTTGTTTTAAGATTTTATTTATTTGGGGCGCCTGGGTGGGTTGAGCCTCTGCCTTTGGCTTAGGTCATGACCCCGGGGTCCTGGGATCAAGCCCCGCATCAGGCTCTCTGCTCAGCGGGGAGCCTGCTTCCCCCTCTCTCTCTGCCTGCTTCGTGATCACTCCCTCTCTGTCAAATAAATAAAATCTTAAAAAAAAAAAAAGATTTTATTTATTTATTTGACAGAGATCGCAAGTAGGCAGAGAGGCAGGCAGAGACAGAGAGAGGGGGAAGCAGGCTCCCTGCTGAGCAGGAGCCCAATGCGGGGCTTGATCCCAGGACTCTGGGGTCATGACCTGAGCCGAAGGCAGAGGCTTTAACCCACTGAGCTACCCAGGCACCTATGAAGATAGTTTTACTGGAATTTTACAGAATGGAATCATCTGCGTCGTGTTCTGCAGTCTCTTACCCATCAACATATTCTGTGTGTCTCCCCCCACTCAGTCCATGTAGATCTATGTGATACCGTGTTTTCTCAGCTCCTTGATTCCTTACTGATGAACGTTACGTCTTCTCTGGTTTGTCTTTATTAGAATAATTAGCAGCTCCATTTTTTTCTGTTTTGTCTGTTAGCTTTTTGCATAAGATTACTTTCAAAGAAAAGAACATGAAACCACTGCGTTAAGAGAGGTCCCAGGCATTATCCCATAGAATCCTTTCCTTTGTGTGTGATTTCTCTCTCCCTTTTCCTTATTTCCTTCTTTTTGCACCCAGCTGGTAAAGGCTTGTCTTGGGCAGTCCTGTGGTGAGTCTGGAGGTTGTAGCGATGAGGAGGAGCCAGGAGTCCTTGCCCTCCAAGAGTCCTGTTTGAGTGGGAGGGATGATTGTGGTGGAGTGACAGGTCCTGGCGAGAAAGCGCAGGACTCAGCCTACCTGTGAGGGACACCTGGGCAGGGGAGGGAGAACTCCCCAGAGGGGTAGATGTGTCAGCCGGGGTTTGGAGAATAAGCAGGAGTTAATCCAGTCATGGAAGGGGGCATAGACCTGGTTGGATTGAGCTGAAGTTGGCTTTCTCCCCGCTGATAGCTGCTCCTTGTCCTGCCCTCGGCGTTTACACAGAGTGAGTGCGCCCTCAGAAGCGCCTCAGATCTGTGTACACTGTTGTCCTGTTCCCTTTCTTCCCAAGGCCAGGTTGATGCGTGATGATGAAAGGAGCGTCCTGGAGGGGGAGGTAAGGAGCAGAGAGCGAGTATTTAGTTAGATCAAGGTCTGTAGTTCCTGGCATAGATCCAGAGACTGGACACGTGTCAGCGCCTTCCTGGGACTGGTTTCTCACTGCCGTGTGCTCCGTTTAATGGCTGCATGTAGCGTGTGGGTCACCTTCCGGGTGGAGTCCGAGACAGTGGTGTATCGTCTCCTCTGCTCAGTCTCTTCTCGTTAGGCACCAGTTTTAGCCTCGCCAAGTACTCCATGGGCTTTGTTGTTAACTCTGCTGGAAGAGTCTCTTTCTTGATGTGATCTTTCCTTGGCATTTCTTTACCAGTAACATTTTCTTCTCTTGGGAAGTAGTAGCTATAGAATTCTCAAGTTCTTCTTCAGTACTTTCCGCTGTAGCAGAGTAACCTCTTTTTAGCCTATCATAGGAGACTTCATTCTTAGTATGATTGGGAGGAAAGTCTGAGCGCTGCGCAGGTTGACCGTTGGGGCCCAGGCCTGTAGTACACCAACGGAAAGCATGGACAAGTTTCTTGGAAAATCAATTAGGTTGCCTACTAAGTAGTTCAACAATGTTCTCTGTTAAAGTGGCATTATGCCCTGCCTGCAGTTCCCGACCGAAGGTTGGCGTTGCCACCGCTCTGAAGTTTTCTGCCGGCCGTTGCTTTGGAGGGTTCTGTGTGGCCCCGGCCAGCCCGCGTCATGTGGCGGCAGGTGGTTGCGAGTCCGTTAGTATCCGTCTTCAGCAGGGGTCTCCGTTTCCTTACTTAAAGAAGCAGATTGTTTCTTGAATCCCCTTTTGTAATAGTCCAGATGATTTCAAATATTTAATGTTTGTTTCTTTCTTTTTGCATTAAGTGGGAAAGACCTTGTATAATTTGGTAAAATCCTGGGTTCCGTTAGGCTGTCTGTCTACTTTGGATGCATTTGTCCCGACAGCCTGATTATCTCTTCTTCATTTTAAATGTTGTTTTGTGGAAGAATATGGTCGGAAGCCTTGTCCTGTCCTTTCAAGATGGGATATTGCCTTTTTCCTGTTAGTAAAGGGATTCATGGTGACTTTGCATACAAGGCGGCTTCGCTTTCATTCTGTCGTACCCACTTCTACCTAGGAACCGCCTTTACTTAAACATGCTGGAGCATTTGAATTTTTCATCAGGATAATGTGTTTAGCCATCCAGGAGCATTGTCAGACACAGGATTTTACTGGATGCCACTAGTGTTGAGTGTCAAAACTTAGTTGCCACTGTTCATCTGTTCCTAAAAGCTGTGTCTTAAAAAAACAAACAAAAAACCAAAAAAAACCCGTGAATTTGAAAATGGTGTGGGTTTTGTTTGTTTGTTTGTTTTGGTGGGGTTTTTGTTTTAATGTGTTAGCCTGTTTGGAATTTTTTTCCAATGATGGGAAACCAGGATGGTCTTTTAAATCTTGAGTGCCTAATGTTTTGCCCTCAAAATTAGAGGTTGTTTGGAATCTAGGCTGGTCTGGGTGGATAACTTGGTGGGTTTAACCGACTGCTAGTGATTATCCAGTATCTGTAATGTCAGGAGCATTGCTGTTGTGGAGATGTGAAGGAGACCTGGTCCCAAATTGCTGGGAGACCTTGGGCAGAATTAATAAATGAAAGTTATACAGATGTGCACAAATATTCATAGCAGTGTGATTTATGATAGCCAGAAAAAGGAAACAACCAAGATTCCATCACCTGATGAATGGATAAGCAGAATGTGACTGATTGATCCATACAGTGGAAGAATATTCAGCACTTACAATGGAGAAAAGTACTCTTAAATAAAGTACTGTTACATGCTACTATTATGTGCCCTAGAAAAATTATGCTCCAAGAAGGCAGTCACAAAAAGCCACACGTTATATGAAATGTCCAGAAGAAGAAAATCTCCAGACCAAAAGTAGATTAGTGGTTGTCTAAGGCTGGGCAAGTGGTAGGCTGGGGTGGAGAGTGGGGAGTGACTGCTAGTGGGGGTGCAGGTTTTCTTTTGGGGGTGATGAAAGTGTTTGAATTAAGGTTATGTTGATAGTTGTATAGCTCTGCAGATACACGTAAAACCACTGTTTTTCTTTACAAGCTGAACTTGTTAACATAGAAACTATATATGCATTAAAATGAGATTAAGTAACTTACTTCTAAGACCTTTCAGGGTTTTTAAAAAAGATTTATTTGAGAGAGAGTGTGAGTGTAGAAGGAGGGCCAAGGGAGAGAGAGTCTCCGGCAGACCCGCGTTGAGCCTGACCTGGGCTCAGTCCCACGGCCTACGTGGTGGCCTGGGCTGAAGCGGGGAGTTGGGCGCTCAGCCTTCTGAGCCGCTGGCTGCTCCGGGTGCTGGTGGTGGTTTGCTTGTGTTTTAATGAGGCTGGATGCCCTACTGAGGGCTCAGATCTTATGGTTCATAGGAAATAAGTAAAAGGCAATACTGTCTGCTGATAGGACTTTTTCCTATGTGTGTGCATCCGAGTGTCCACTAGAGGACAGCAAAGCTCATTTTAGCTGCGCGCGCGCGCACCTGTTCCAAATAGGCACTCTGTGTAGGGACTGGACTTAAAATTCCTAAATCCACGTTCCATCGGCGGGATGTGGGTTGTTCACATAGTAAGAGGACCTGGGTGGTGGCGTATGTCGGCTCTCCACTGCCCTGAGGCCAGCTGTGGTGTGGACCTCACAGATGATGGAGGATCTCTGAGCGGGGAGGAAGGCAGTTGTGCTGTGTTTTGAGGGCAAGTGTTGAACTAGCTGCACTGAGGGTTGAGGAATGGGCCCGATTGTACTAGAGTTGTAGCAGCCTCTCATTTTTGTTGTGTTTATGTTACGTATTCTCGTTGTTTATGAGTTTATGCACACAGGGCTCTCTGTGGTTCTCTGTTTCCAGAAGAAAGAGAGGGGGCAGCCTTTGTTCCCGTCTGTCAACCCTCGCACCACAGCTTCAGAAATAGCTCAGTGTCCCTTGGCAGCTCTGTTTTACAGCCGATGGCCTTCAGCATAACTAGCCCTTCCTGTAGGAGGAAGACTCACTTCAGATAGACGCCTTTGCCTGGCGTGGGGCAGGGCAGTGCAGCAGCGGGGTGGTCAGCTAGCTAGAGCTAGTCCAGTTGCCCAAGCAGTGCACTGCTCCCTGGACTTCACTGCACGCACGACCGGGTTAAGGCATATGGCCCCCACAGGGTGGATGATGGTGGAATGATCTCCTCTCTCAGCCTCTGCTATAGGGAGGGCCTGACCCTTACCTTTGCCCTTCTCTGTGGTGGTTTCTTTTTCTTTCTTTCTTTCTTTCTTTTGTTTAAGGATTTTATTTGTCAGAGGGAGAGAGGGACAGAGCAGAAGCAGGGGCAGCGGCAGGCAGAGAGAGAAGCAGGCTCTCTGCTGAGCAGGGAGCCAGATGTGGGGCTCCATCCTAGGACCCTGGGATCGTGACCCAAGGTGAAGGCAGATGCTGAACTGACGGAGCCCCCCCGGCACCCCCTCTGTGGTGGTTTCTGCCTGTCTGAGAATGATCACCTGTGGAGGCATTTGTCTCTGCGGATGCTTATCTGATCATTGAGGCAAGAAATACTTTGAACACCTAAAAAAAACACCTTTTGACTAAAGAAACAGTAATAGAAATAAGTGAATTATCCTAAAATGGCATTTCTGTTTTTCCTTAGAATGTCTGTTTTATATAGAAGTGAGGGTTGTGTTTTATCATTGAAATTCCTGATTATATTTCCTGTGTTCTAACTATGTTTTCCTGGGTCATTCTAAATTAATTTAGATTTTCTCACGATGGGAGGAGGCAAGTGTCTATTATGCTGAGAGTAACTGCCCAGAAGGAAGTCAGCCTAAGCCCTGGCCCTCTGAAAGTTTCACTTAGTTAGAAGTTGGTGATAAAGTCAAAAGGAATGCTTTGTATCGGTACTTAATATTTTTAAGTGTTGTCGAATGCATTATAGATGGTATTTACTGTAATGTCCAGGCCCTGTAATCTGGGATTGTGGCATGTACTGCAGAGACCTGTCATCTTGTTAACCAGAGTTGTGTTAGCTCAGGACAGGGTTCCGTAAGTGTTCCCGCTTTTAAATGGTACTGAAGTGGATTTAATTGGTACAGACGGGTCTCTCATCACCCCTCACCCCTGCCTTCATTCTTTGTGTAACCTTTGGCAAGTTTTCTCACTCTTATGAGCCTTGATTTTTGCTGTAAAATAAATGCGTGAGGGGTGGAGAGGCTCTAGGAGGGGAGCGTACTCAGCATTCTCTCGCCTCTTCTTCTGCTCTAGTGCTCAGTGCATGCTCTGTGTCAGTACTATGTGAAAAATCTGTGTGTCATGTTCTTGAGGTCATTGTAGTAATGCTGACCTGGTTTGGTCTCTGTTCAGGTCGCATCTGCTCTGGAAAAGTGGAAGACCGCGATCCGTGAGGCTCAGACTTTCTCCCGGATGCACGTTCTGCTTGGGATGCTGGATGCCTGTATTAAGTGGGATATGTCAGCAGAAAATGCTCGATGCAAAGTTTGTCGAAAGAAAGGTATGTTCAGATCAGTGTTGCTTATCTGAGTGCAGTAGGGACTAGAATTTCCATTCCAAAGATATTTTCTCCCCTGAAGAATTCCGGGCACCTAACTTTGAAGTACAGTGGGACAGATTTACCCTCTTCCGGAGGTCTATAAAATGCTCTTTTACATGAAGTAAATCAAAGCAAGCGCCTTGTTCCTTAAGTTTGAGGATAAGAGCAGTTTATCTCTCCAATCTTTAAATTTTATGCAGGGGACAAATCAACCTAAAATTTTATTTTTTATTTATTTTTTAGATTTTATTTATTTGACAGAGAGATCACAAGTAGGCAGAGAAGCAGGCAGAGAGGGTGGGGGGAAACAGGGTCCCCGCCAAGCAGAGAGCCCAACGCGGGGCTCGATCCCAGGACCCGAGATCATGACCTAGGCCGAAGGCAGAGGCCCAACCCACTGAACCACCCAGGCGCCCCCAACCCAAAATTTTAAATCTCTTTTCTCATCTCCTGGAGTTTGTAGTCATCCATGAAGTAAGACATCTGCCAGCAGAGGGCAGTATTTCCACACTCCCGCCGGGCCCACTGCCCGAGTCCTGCAGAGCAGGGCATTTGGGACTCTTTAATGGTCACAGCTTCTAGAACCCGTGTGAAAGAAACTTCATGACTAATAGCCCTCGAGCTATTGACTCCTCGGTGGCTAACGTTATTTTGTGAGGTAGGTTAGGGTTTAATTCGCAAGGATAGAAAAACCCGTGAAAAACCTGTTCATTGCTCTAAACGCTGTTTTAGAGTGAAGGTTGGAGAGGGAGGTGACCATGTCGTGTCAGTTCTGTGCCTTTTTGGCACCAGGTGGTTTAAGAGAAACCATGTCAGATAGAAGTTGGGAAGCACCGGGGGTGGAGGAAGAGGACGGGCAGTAAATGTAATGCTTCACGGGGGTTCATTTCTTAGTGGGAGGTGAGCAGCGACCGTTCTTGCCGTGACTTGGTTTTTGCTGCTGCTTCATAAATGTTGGAACTGTCCTCTCCTAGGCCGAGCTGGGTTTGGGGATGTAAGTCAGAAAGCCTGAGTTTAAATTACCAGTAGCCTCGTTTATGCTACATTTCCTTCTCTCTTTTTTTTAAGACTTTTTTTTTTTTAAAGATTTTATTTTGTGTATGTGAGAGAGAGCACGAGCAGGGGTAGGGAAAACAGACTCCTTGCCGCCGAGCAGAGAGCCTGACACGGGGCTCGATCCCAGCACCCTGAGATCATGACCCGAGCCAAAGGTAGACGCTCAACCAGCTGAGCCACCAGGCATCCCTGTGCTGCATTTCTTTTCAGAAGTGACTGCATTAGGAAAAAAATGGGATAACACTCTGCTGGACCGTTTGCTCCCCCGTGGTGCTAATCGAGGGCGAGTGGCTCTTCATTGCAGCTCGCTGGCCGCCGCCCCCGGCAGCGCCGTCATACAGGCTTTCTCCGTGCAGGTGAGGACGACAAGCTGGTCTTGTGCGACGAATGCAACAAAGCCTTCCACCTGTTCTGCCTGAGGCCCGCCCTCTACGAGGTCCCAGACGGCGAGTGGCAGTGCCCTGCTTGCCAGCCTGCGACCGCCAGGCGCAACTCCCGCGGCCGGTGAGAATTTCTTCTCTCGGAAACAGTCCGTGAGATGGCGGTTCACAGTTAAGCTGTAGTTATTCAAACAGAATGATTCTAAGGAGTTGAAGTTCATCTTTTGCACACGGAGCCTGATCATTGGAGTTACTACGGTAGGAGCTCACAGGGCTCTGACTTCATTTCAGCTCAGTGTCGACATTCCTGGTTTTCGCTGTTTTCACTACCAGACGTGAGCTGTATCTCGGCATCATCCCTTCTTCTCAGATAACATTTCTCTCCCGTTGCTTCTACTTTGCCCGCTTCGCGGTGACTTCTGCAGTCACCCCTGCTCAGAGTCCTGGAACTCATGACCTTCCTTACCTATGCCTGTTGTTTTCCCTTCTTTATCATGGTTAGAGCTCTGGGGTCGGCTTGGACATCTTCCTCTCCCTCAGCTTCCATGCTCTGTTGACGCCGGTTCCGTGTCCAGACATCTCAGGAGTCCATCTCCTGTTGCCCACTCTCCGTGGTCCCCGCTGTCGGTCGCCCGCCTCCATCTCTCCTCCGGGCTCCTTTGGAGGCTTCTCAGCTCCTTACCTCAGCGCTTGCCCGTCCTGTTCATCCAGCTGTGGAGGGGGCAACCAGAACAGTTTAGGCATAAAGATAAGCTCATGTCACTATCCTGAAATTTAAGGCTTTCCATCGCCTCTAGAAAAGTCCAGACTGCCTGGCCTCATTTCTGAGACTTACACGATACCGGTCTCCGTTTTTGTGAGCCCTTATCCGCTGCCGTGTGCTCTCTGCAGGCCCTCCCCCGGGTATCCTTGCCTGCTGGGCTTGCCTCCTGGCTGGGAGTAGTCCCTCTCCCTAGAACTGAGGGACCGGCCCGTGGCCTACCTAAAATGGCACTGCTTTTGTGAAATGTTTTTACATTCTTCGGGTTGATCCTTTCTCTGTTCCAGCCAAGCGTCCATCTCTCAGTCTTTCCGTGCACCTTGCCTGACATGGGACTGTCTCCCCGCGAGGGTGTTAGTGTCCTGAGGGTAGGGGTCGTGCTTTGTTCTTCATCTTCATCCCAGTGAGGCCTCGTAAAGATGCCTGAGACTTGCCGAGTTAGTACCGTTGTTTCCATGTTGCAGTTTGAGGTGGTGAAAGGGCAGCTCGTAGGCGCTCTGGCGTGGTCTCTGAGGGGGCAGAGCTGTGTGACCCTGACCCCATCTAACAGTGTTCCCCGGTTACTCTCGTTACCCCCCCCAGCTGCACTTGGAGCCAAGTAAGGCGCACTGCCCTGAGATGGTGGGGCTCTGCACCAGCTGTTCTGAGCTGGGATTACCACAGCTTTGATGTGACGGTCATCCGCAAGCTGTTCCACTCCTGGAAGGGGGCCATCAAGGTGGCGGAACACCTGTCTAGGCCGTTGATCCTTTCAGTCCACCCAGAGTTGGGAACAGCTTTTAATAGCTGAAATGTCACATTATCCGGGTGATTTTGTGAGACAAAAGGAATAGGTTTTTGTATCAGTTGATGAGAGGAGAGGTGGGAAAGCGTTTGGAGCCTGGTGGGGGAGGCCTGCTGCTGACGCTTGGGCGCTCGTGCCATGGCCCGAGTCCTGGCCTCGAGTCAGGTTCACTCTCCTCGCCATCAGCTCTGCCCGGTCTGTGACGAGGGTTCCCCGTGGGACTGCGTCCTTTCTTAGGACCACTTGGGCCTGGAACCACGTTCCCTATATGTGTTTCCCTCCCTACAGGAATTACACAGAAGAGTCTGCCTCTGAGGACAGCGAAGATGATGAGAGCGATGATGAGGAGGAGGAGGAAGAGGAGGAGGAGGCAGACTACGAGGTGGCCGGGCTGCGATGTAAGTGTCCCGTTTGCCTTCATGGTTTTCCAGGCTGGCTTGGGAGGACCGGGTTGGCAGTAGTCGCCCACCCAGCTCTGCCTTCGGGCTGTCTTCTCTCTCATGTGTCGTGGCTGTGGGGTGACTCCACTGCTGTGGTTTTAAAAGGATTTTTAAGGTGCCACGTAACCACCTTCCTTGTGGGAGGTTGGATGGCTTGGTCTTAAGAACATTCGGGCCGAGATTTAGTGGAATTCAAAGCCCCAGATGTGTCTATGCAGAGTCTGCTGGGGCAGGCCACTCAGGGTGTGGGGACAGTGGGGACTGGGGGTAAGGAAGGCCTAGGCCTGCTGTCCTCTCCTAACAGTGGGCTTGGCTTCTGCTGCAGCGCTGCTTTCAGAGAAGTGATCTTTCCTCTTTGTCATCGTGTGCAGGGTGCTAGCTTGGCTAGTTTGAAAAGAGAAGACTAGTTTCTTCATGGCTTCGGGTGGTTGTTAGGAAGGTTCAGATCCGTTTCTCACTAGATGCCCGTGGGGGACGTGGGGGGCTCTTCTTTACACTTAACCTCTTTGACTCTCACTCTCTCTCTCTTTTTTTTTTTTTTAAAGATTTTATTTATTTATTTGACAGAGATCACAAGTAGGCAGAGAGGCAGGCAGAGAGAGAGGTGGAGGCAGGCTCCCTGCAGAGCAGAGAGCCCGATGCGGGACTCGATCCCAGGACCCTGAAATCATGACCTGAGCCAAAGGCAGTGGCTTAACTCACTGAGCCACCCAGGCGCCCTGACTCTCACTCTCTAATGGCCATTCTTCAGGAGTCATTTTCTTGGGTAAACCTAAAGCTCTGTAGCCCGGCCTTTTACAGCCGCCTCTGCAGAACAGACCAGACCCTTCCTTGTGGGTTAGTGGGAAGAGATCACAGATCAAGATTTTGATGAGCTTTTGAAGAGATGGTACAGTCCCTAGGTCATAGCACTCGGAGCGTTGGGAGCCTGAGAAGATGCTTGGCGTGACCAGTCTTGCAGCAGGGGCGCCGCTAAAGCCCGGAGCGGTCTGGGTTTGCACGCTCGCCACCGTCCTCGCAGTCATGCAGGGCTCTCCGTTGGGAACACCTTCCTTTCTCTCGTTCCTGAGGGCTCCTTCCGTTTGTTCACTGGCATGATGTCGCAGTTGTCCAGGGTCAGGAGACACGTAGTCCCTGAACCCCAGATTACGGAGGGACCTCGTCTGCTAGCTGGAGGGAGCGATTGGGGTGCAGGCCTGTTCGGGACTAGATCCCGAATGTCACAGTGTGCTCATTGTGTTGGTTTTCAGAGTCGTGGATGCTTTCCTATTGCAAGTTAACTGTTTTCTTTCTAAGAAATCGTTTTCTCAAGGTTTCTAGGGTCTTACCTGCCAAAGGAGTCCGGGAAGTGTTGGTACTTGAGAGTACTTTGTCTTCTCCACCGCTTAGGCTACCGGGGATGTGGTGTTCCCTGGGTCCCACCTCAAGACCCTAGGTTGGTGGCTGTCTCTAGCATTCTGAGTCTCATCCTCGGTGTCAGCTTCTCTCTTCCTGCCTGGCCTTGAGCTTGGAGACCTTAAAATAGCCAGTGAAGGGTTATCAGGGTCTAGAAGTAGAGTGAAACATTGTTTATTGATTCTTTCCGTCACTGGCTCTGTATACTTCTGTTTTTGTACAAATATCACCTCCCTACTTTGAAGGGAAAATGTGTTCAGTGGAGAAGCTTTTTTTTTTTTTTTTTTTAAAGATTTTATTTATTTATTTGACAGAGACATAGCGGGAGAGGGAACACAAGCAGGGGGAAGTGGGAGGGGGAGAAGCAGGCTTCCCGCTGAGCAGGGAACCCAATACAGGGTTCGATCTCCAGACCCTGGGATCATGACCTGAGCCGAAGGCAGACCCTTAATGATTGAGCACCCCAGGCGCCCCTGAGCTAATCCTAATGGAGTGTCACTCCCTGGGGACGTATTGAGAAATGTTGGTTTGTCTGACGTGGACTACCCGTTGTCAGCCTGAGACACGGGTCATCTGGGGGACCTTTGTATTCCTTATTCTCCCTTTGGGGGTGCCGGGCAAAGCTCTTATGGCAGTGGTCTGGCCCACTGTCTGGTTTTCAGAAATGCAAGAAAGCAGGACTGGGCCGAGCTTAAATTGGGTTCACGGAGAACGACTTCGAATAGGTATTGGTTTTGCTCTCAGAAGATGGTGGTGGCAAGTGTAGGATTCCTTGGGGGAACTAGGAGGCGGGAACTGCCCTCCAGCCAGATGCCACCTCACATGTGAGCATACGCACTCGCAGGCCCACTCGGGCTCTGCGGGGTCCAGCAGAGCGGTCAGCACGCGGCCTCTCCCGGCCTGCGCCGCCTCACCGTGGGCTCCTTCAGAGGCCGTGTTCGCGGGACTAGCTGTGAGCAGTGCGGGGCGGGGAGGTGCCGTTCCGAAGGGACTGGCCTTCCCAAGGGGCTCGTGGAAGGGCCTCAGCAGCCGAGAGGTGTCCGTGCGTCTGCTTCTCCACCTTTCAAGTGTCCCCTTGGGGTAGGAGAGAAAGGGCAGGAGCGCCGGACAACCAAAGGGAGCTGTCGCCCTGCTCAGCCAGATGCTCTCTGCGTCCCGCAGATGTGCTCCCCCATCCCCTGTCGGCTCTGAAGTCCGTGTTTTCTGTTCTAGTGAGACCTCGAAAGACGGCCCGGGCCAAGCAGGGCGTCCTCCCCGCTGCGGCGAGGCCGGGGCGCCGGCCGGGTAAGAAGCCGCATCCCGCCAGGAAGTCTCGGCCAAAGGCGCCGCCTGTGGACGACGCAGAGGTCGAGGAGCTGGTGAGTGATTCCCGTCCTCCCCGCGGCGGTCGGTCAGTCCCCACTCCGGTGCCGGGCGTCCGGCCGGCAACAGCTGGGGCCCCCCCTTCGGAGGCGGCCCCAGCCCCCCAGGAGCAGCTATGTCCGGCATCCCCCGCTCAGCCCGCGGACATCGTCTCCCCGAGTTAATGGGCAGCCTGTGACTCGTTAAGGATTTTAAAATAGTATCCATGTGTCTCCCGCAGCTCCGAGGGGCTGGGTCTCCCCTGTGGGAATGTCAGCAATGTTGGCGCCTCAGCACTCTCGGGTCTTTTGCCCACAGTTGTTGCGGGACGGGTGTTCGCCTCCCCTCTGCTCGGCGGCCGGCGTAGTTTCAGTGGATTTCCTTGGATCTCACTGGGGCTTTAGAGAGCAGTAAGAGCTCCTGGAAACGGACTGACTTTGGCCGAGCGAACTGGGCTTGGGGGTGGGCTGGGGCGAGCTGTGAGGCAGCTCCAGGGCCTTGCGGGATCCTTGCGCTGGCCCAGACCTCGTCGACCCTTCAGGCCTGGGGCTCCGACCGCTGAGTCGCAGCATCGATGGCTCCCTGAAGGGGTCGCCCACCCTTTCCTCCTCCGCCGCGTAGCGGTCACGTGCTAAGCAGGAGGCTGCGGGAGAGGAGTCGCACCTCTGGCCTTGCTTTCCTGAGAGCCGCAGCCCCACGGAATCGGCTGCCGGTGGTCCCTGTAACCCAGGTCCGTCTCTCACCGGCGAGCTGGTGACGGTGGCCTCTCTGGCCGACCTCGGGCAGGGCAGCCGCTGCCGTGTCCGCGGGGGCGGCGGGGGGCTGATGGGGCGATGGCTGCCCCCCGGCTGAGCGCGCTCCCTGCCTTGAATGCCGGATGATTTTGACCATCTCTGCTCCGAGACAGTGGTCGAACTTTCGTTTTTCTTCTTTTCAAACGATACATAGTTTTCTGTTCTGTCCACTCTTCCCTTAGACCTGTAATAATGCGTCTCTTTCTTGGGTGCCAGGTCCTTCAGACCAAGCGGAGCTCGCGGAGGCAGAGCCTCGAGCTGCAGAAGTGTGAGGAGATCCTCCACAAGATCGTCAAGTACCGCTTCAGCTGGCCCTTCAGGTGCGCGTGGCGTGCTCGGGCCCGGGAAGCAGGACCGGCCTTGGGGGTGCCCCGCGCGTGCAGACAGGCAGCTGCTGGGGGGCGCCGAGCAGAGGTCCTAGGGACGGCCCTGATCCTTCCTTTAGGTCGCGTCTGAGTGTCGGGGGAGTCCCGCCCCAGAGCGGCAGAGACCACACGTCAGCCGGGGTCAGCACGCCTTTTCTGCCGCCGGCTGGCCCATGCGCGGCGGGGTGGGCGTTGCGGGAGTGGTGGCCCCAGAACAGGTTTCGGTCTGTCCTGGAGGCTGTGCTCAGATCTCCGTTCGCTGCCTCTCCACAGGGAGCCCGTGACCAGAGACGAGGCTGAGGATTACTACGACGTCATCACTCACCCCATGGACTTCCAGACAATGCAGAACAAGTGTTCCTGTGGGAGCTACCGCTCCGTGCAGGAGTTTCTCTCCGACATGAAGCAAGTGTTTGCCAATGCCGAGCTTTACAACTGCCGAGGCAGCCACGTGCTGACCTGCACGGTGAAGACAGAACAGTGTCTGGTGGCTCTGCTGCATAAACACCTTCCCGGCCACCCGTACGTCCGCAGGAAACGCAAGAAGTTTCCCGATCGGCTTGCTGAAGATGAAGGGGACAGTGAGTCAGAGACCATTGGACAGTCCAGGGGACGAAGGCAGAAGAAATAGAGAGGCAGGGCCCTGGTAAGGGAGGTGGGGGACCGGAGAGAGCCGGGGAGGGTGGGAGGGAGTGGGAGAGGAAGATGGAGAAGAATGTGGAAGGGAGGAGATCACAGGGAGTCCAGAAATGCCCGTCATCCCAGGCTCGTGCTGCCTTGCCCAGCTCTCCAGAGGGCCCTAAGCAGGCCGAGCTCTTCGCAGAACCCGCTCTTGGGCTGGTGGTCTGTGCCAGGGCTCCCGTGGGCAGGGGGCCGCCTTAACCCTGCTGAGAGCTTCCAGGGAGAGGCCAAGGGTATGGCTTTCTTGTGGGCCCACATCCTTTAACTTTCTTCTTTCCTGCGGCCCCTCCTGCTCTGGCCGCCACGACAGCGCCAAGCCTCTGGTCTCGAGGGGAGGGATGACAGCATGTCACGGAAGGATCGGGGTAATCAGGCCAAACGGGGAGGCGGTGTTGATTTTTTAATTTCTATTTACACACAGTCTTGTTTCTTGAAGCCGGTCCTGCCCCCTCCCCCTTCAGGTGACGGCAGCCGTGAGTGCTGTACCGCGTTCTGTGTTCACCAGCATCAGGAGACACTCGTGCTCTTCGAGTTGTTGCTCTTGGCAGAGTAAAGGGACATGTCCTGGAGCCATTCCTGAATACCCCTCCCCTTCTTTGTGACAGCTCTCGCTCCTCTCCCGCCCCACCTCACCCCTTCAAAATCAAAAACAAAAAAAAAACTGAAAAAAAAAAAAAAAAAAACCCCTAAAAAACCCGCAGAGAACCTAAGGCACTTCATGTAGAGACTGGAGCCCTGCTTATCGTCGTGCACGTGACCTTCACCTGGATGGATCTGGCCAGAGGGTGTTGGAGCCCAGCCCACCCACATACCAGACACAAGCTCTTAGGGGAGCAGAAGAAAAGCAGGAAGAATTTAAATGTTTAATTTTTTTTAAATTGACTTTTCTAGTTACCGAAAGTTGCTTGTTTCAGCAGTGATATTGTATAAAGAACATCTTGTAAAATACTCCTGTCACCTTGCCTTGGCACATGTACAGTACAGTTTATATGATGACGTGTTTGCTTTACTTCCCCGTCTCCTCCCCAGCCCGTCCTCTTGCCTTCGGAGACGTGGGGGTGGAGGCTCCGCAGGGCAAGTGGTGGGACCCGGCGGGGCGGGGACGTCCCTCTGCCTGCCCTGCCAGCCATTTCTGCCTCCTCCATCTCCAGCCGCCTCCTCCCTCCTCCCTCCTCCCGAGCCTGATCTGAGCCTGTTCTGGACTCGGATGCGGATGCAGATGTGGAGCTCCCCGAGCGAGAAGCTGAATCTTGCACGGTCCGGGGCGGTGGGGGCGGAAGAGGGGCTCGGCGGGGCCCCTTCTGCTGGCGCTAGTCGTTCTGTTAGGCGGGACTTCGTAGTCTTTCCCTTTTATGGCAGATTTTGATAAAAATGCAAAACAGGGTTTAATTTTCTTTTCTATCAGCTTTGAATTTAGAAAATGGGAGCACCTCAGCTCCTCTGTACCTATTTAAGTTAAGGGTAAAGATGTCCACCAAGGGGATTGCAGCTCTGAGAACTTGAGAATGAAGCCTCTTAATGCGGAACTTCAAGGTGTGGTCCCTGCCTCACCCCGCCTGCCCTGCCTGGAGGCTGGGGATCTGCTCCAGTGGCTGCTGGATGGGGTTCCGGTCCCTTCTCCCACAGGTTCGGGCTTAGCACTGATGCTCCAGTTCCATTATCCCAGCCGCCGGCACTGCGTGCCGCCTCTGACCCCAGAGCCGGTCTGTTCTTGTTGGCAGTGAGACTCCTGTGTTCCCACTTCAGTGACACCTGAACTATTTGTGGTTGTTTTGTTTTTTGTTTGTTTTTTTTTTTCTAATTGTCTTTAAGGAGGAAGGGCCCCATTAAAGGGTAAACTTGTAATAAATTGGAATTTCAAATAAACATTATGTACTTGTGTTTATAAAGAAGAAACGCTTCTGGTCAATCTTTGCTTTGGGGGGAGGGAGTGGATCGTGCAGAGTCCGGAGTGCTGGTCCAGCTGCCCCTTGGAGCAAGAGGACACCTGACGTGTGACCTTCAAGCTTCTCCTGGCCTTGTCCTTAACCCCCTCCCACCAAAATTTTCATTAGAATTCTAGGAATTCAGGCAAAATGCTCATAAAGACTTCACTGTGGGCATTGGTATAGCGCTTGAGGACTTAATTTGGGGGCAACTCCTGACATTTTACAACCCCTGAAGGAAAATTTCAAGCATACAACACGAAAAGTGACAACCATGAACTCCCATGCCCTGCAGCCGTTCCCCACACGGCCAGTCTTAACTTACGTCTTCATTTGTTTTCTGTGCTGAGAATTGTTAAAGTCTGAGTGCTTAATCGCAGTAGGTCACTGCTAGGCGGCCACCGGCTTGTGGAACTCAGAGATGGTACAGAGCCCACTGTGTGGCCCCATCCCCCGAGAAGTGGAACTCTGGCTCCGGGCCACCCAAACCTGGGGTGGCGGTGAGTAAAACCAAAAGAAACCAGAGGCGAGCCCGAAGCCCTGGGTGTGGGTTCTGCCCCCGCTGCTCTGTGGCCTTGCTGAGTGTGGGCCTGGAGCCAGGCCTGCGCCAAGCACTGGGGAGTTTCAGTTCTCCGGGGGGCTGGCAGCGGGGTGGGGTGGGGGGCACCTGTCCCAAGGTCAGCTCCAATGTGGCCAGCGCTCTGGCTCTGGGGAAGGGAGCTGTGCGACCTCTGAGCATTTCCTACACGGTCACAGCCGGACATGAGGGTCCGGCCACGTCCGCGAAGTCACGTTCCCCAATGGGTTTCTCAGGGTGCCCCAGGATGGCACCCATGGGGCCATGTCTCCTCATCTAGGGCGCCCTGGTCCTGTTAAACCATCAGCCTCCCTGCCAAGGGTGTGACCTTACGGGAGCCACCTGACCTGGGCTGACTCCTGCAAACGGGGAAAGAGTACTTTTCCCTGCAGATGGGGGCCTGAGCGGAGCCCTCCCCCTCGTCCTGCCCATGCGCCTCCCTCTCAGACCCTGTCGCTGGGGAGGCCGTCGAACTGTGTCAGGGGTGGCGGTGAGGTGGGGTCTGGATTGTCACGGAGCCGGGGCATCCTCAGGCAGGCCGCTGAGTGAGAAACTCAAGCCGGGCAGGAAGGGAGGGTGCTGCTTCCGTGACTACGCAGGGATGCGGCTGAGAGCAGGCAGGGAGAGCCGCTACTGACCGCCAGGGACCACCGCTGCCTCCTGGGAACTTCGCCCCGTTTCCGTGGAACTAATACCGAGGTCAGGGCTAAGAAGTCCCCTTACCTCGGGCCTCCCACACACAGGCTCAGCCGGCGGGCTGGGCGTAGGCCGCAGGGGCAAGTGTGCAGATGTGCGCCAGGGCCGTGGCTAGGAGAGGCCAGGGGCACCCCGTGCACAGGCCAGCAGGTGTTGTTTTCTGAGGCACTTCCCCTGGGTTCTGGAATTTCCTTTGCGGAGCTTGGGGGAGGCCCTGCTGTGGGAGGGGTTTCTCTGGACAAAACCGCCCTAGGTTCTAACACCTGCCTTCCCGCTGGCATCCGGGGTGCAGTGGAGGTCAGAGGCTCTGGAGGCCGCAGGCTGCCTGGCCGTGTGAGCTCCAGCCCCAAGCTCTCCACGCCTCCCCCTGTCTGTAAAACGGCAGAGAAGGATCCAATGGAAGCCTTCTGTAAAAGTTCTCTAAGCAATGTTTCCTTCTTCCCTCCCCTCCAGGCTCTGGGACTTTTCCAGTGTCCCCCAGTGCTGAGAAGCCACCGGCCACCTCTCCCCTCCCTGTTGTTCTGGAAACCCAAATCTTGTTTCTGCTGGGCAGGACCTAGCTGACCACCACCGCTCCCTGGCCACTGACTGGCAAGGGACAGGGGTGGACTGGTGCCACTCCTGATACACATGTCACTGCCTCTCTCTTCCCTGGTCTCCAGAATCTTCTCCTTTGGCTTCTGCTGCCCCTGCCCCCTCGACAGCTTCAGCTTTGCTCGTGCAGACCCGGCCCACCAGCCCAGTTTAATGCAGCCACTTTGCCCCCCATCTGCCCCGGGCCCCTGTCGCCTTTAACAAGCGCAATCACTCAGTCAAGGACCTTCACAGGGAGTGACGAGGCTTGGCTTTGCTGATTTAAAAAAAAAAAAAAGTCCAGAGGACTTCCTGTGTGCTCCGTGGGGGGGAGGGCTTGGGGGGGGGGGGGGGGCGGGCTATGCAGGAAATGCATAAGCACAGGTGCCCAGCGCCGCCCCCCCCCAGAGTTCCCCTGGGGGTCAAGGCCAGTCCTTGCGGGGAGGGACAGCCCTTTACTCTCAACTCCCCATGGGAACTTGACACCGCCTGTTTGATCTTCAGTTGGTGTCTTTCTTGTCCCGCTGCCCCGCTGAGACTGGTGGCTGGTGCTGGGCAAAGAGCTCCAGCCTGAGAGCCTCCCGGCTTCGGGAACTCAGCCCTACTACTGACAGGGAGCAGGCGTCCTCGGAGGACAGGCTGGAGCCTTGGGGCCTCCCGGCAGTGACACAGAGTGCTCGCTCGGGATGGTGACTCGCTCGGGATGGTGACAAAGACCCTCACCTGGCTGAAGTCACAGTGGCTAGAGCAGAGGCCAAGATGGGGCTCTGGGGTCTGACCCCCACCTGCGGCCCCAGGTTGATGAGGGTCTCCGTGGGATGGCCACACACTCCTTACAGTGGGCAGAGATGGCAGGTCCCCGCCGCTCTGGGCTTCCCTGGTGCGCAGACACACATGTACCTTTCCCCATCCCCTGACACACGGGTGTGCGAGGTGCCCTGGAGCAGCCGTGCGCGCGCCCCTGCACCTGCTCCATCTCTCACAGCAGCTCTCCACACCTCAAATCCTTCCGCAGCCTCCAGAGCTGGGGGCCCCATTCCCACTAGACTCCAGGGCTTCCCATGTCCCCTGTCTGAGCCACCAAGATGCCCACACACCAGTCTGGCCCCATCTCCACTCCCCCCAAAGAATTGAGGGGAGGTGTTGGGGTGCCCTGACGAGGACCCCAGGGAGTGAGGGGGCCGCCAGCACACCTGGCATGGAATGAGGACAGTACTGCAGCGTCAGCCCTCAGGCCCTGGGAAGGGACAGCGGGACCCAAATAGGTGGGATCAGGTCCTGAGCCTCCAAGGGAACCTTGGAGACAGGTCGATGCCCTGATTTCCATACGAGTGAAGAAAGCAGCCCCACTCACAGCCCCCAGACAGGTTAGAGTCCCTGAGGCCACAGGTGTCCTCCCAGGGGATTCCTGGAGGGCTCCAGCAGGCGTCCCAGGCACACTTTGCAAAACAGGAACTCAGGACTCAGGCAAAGGAGCAGAGACAGGCAAATGGGGAAAACACACACGTACACACACACGCACATACACGGGGACCTCTGCAGAAACTGCTGCTCCACAGGGACGCCCTCCTGACCGGTTGGGAGCCCGAGAACTGGGCCCAGCACAGGAGGCCAGCACCCACCCAGCTCTGCCCACCGGGGAGACTCCCACAGGGCCCTCACCCTCCGATCTTCCCTCTGCCCGGCCCACGGAGGACTCAGCAGTGCCACACGGGGTGGGGGGGTTTAATTCCAGTCACAGCTTCCAGAGAAACTCAACAATAAATTACATCATTAAATAAACTCCCTGCTGGACCACGCCCCCTTTTGCCCCTCCTCCTTGCCACATGCTCCCCCAGGACCCTGTGGGGACCTGGCCAGGCCCACTCCCTGCCCTTGGCCGCCGCTGGGGAGTGAGCCTCACTTGGTCCCGGCAACTGAGGGTGGCAGCAGGAGAGTCTCCCCGCCCTGGTCCTTGGCCCCTCGAACTCACTTGCCTGACCTTGACAGCTGGGCAGCTGCTAGTCAGCTGTCTCCTCCAGAGGGGGGCGGGGGGCAGGCAACAGCCGCCCCGCGCAGGCCTGGGTCCCTAGAGGTGCGTGGGGTTCTCCAGAGAAGGGTCTGTCTTAGTCATGTGCAAGACCACGGTGGGGGCCTTGTAGTGGCAGTGGGTGCCACGGCCGTAGCCCCCTGGAGCCCGGCAGGCCTTGGCCCGGGCCCGGCCAGCTGCCATCTTACGGTGGCACAGGCTCTGCCAGGTCTGGAAAGTCTTGGAGCTCCACACCCAGACACCACTGGTGATGCCCACCACCAGCGACATGAAGATTTTGAGCATAAAGACAGCCACGGTGGGCACCGAGCCCCCTGGGAGCGAGCAGTCCCTCCGGCCCCCGGGCATGCTGGCGGCTGAGCAGGGCTGCTCTGTGGCCCGAAGGCGCCAGAAGTCCATGTTGAGGCGCTCGTAGACGTAGCACACGATGACGCAGGTGGCGGGCACCGTGTAGAGGATGGAGAAGACCCCAATCTTGACCATGAGTTTCTCCAGCTTCTCCGTGTTGGTGCCGCCCGTCTTCATGATCTTGCGGATGTGGAAGAGGGCCACGAAGCCGGTCAGGAGGAAGCTGGTGCCCAGCACCAGGTAGCAGGAGAGGGGCACCAGCACGAAGCCCGTCAGTGCGGCCGCATCCATGCTGGCCACGTAGCAGAGCCCCGTGAGCTCGTCCCCGGCCACCTTGCGCAGTGTCAGGATGACGATGGTCTTGAGGGCCGGCAGGCCCCAGGCCGCCATGTGGAAGTAGCTGCCATGGGCCTCGATGGCCTCGTGGCCCCACTTCTTGCCGGCGGCCAGGAACCAGGTGAGCGTCAGCACCACCCACCACAGCGAGCTGGCCATGCCGAAGTAGTAGAGCAGCAGGAAGACGAGGGTGCAGCCCGTGTTCTCCAGGCCCTCCTGGATCACGTACAGGGCGCCCGCCTCCTGGTCGCAGGCCACGCTCTGCGCGCCGGCCACCGCGCGGATGAGGAAGGCCAGCGAGTAGACGTTGTAGCACATGGACAGGAAGATGATGGGGCGCTCGGGGTACTGGAAGCGGTGCGGCTCCAGCAGGAAGGTGAGCACGGTGAAGGCCGTGGAGAAGAAGCACAGCGCCGACCACACGGCCATCCAGACGAGCGCGAAGTCCTTGTCGCGCCGCGACCAGAACACCTCGACGCCGGGCCCGCAGCGCGGCGCGCACGAGCGGCTCTTCTCCACGTACTGGAACTTCTCGGGGTTCTCGCAGGTGCCGCCGCTGCCGCCGCCGCCGCCGGGGCCGGGGCCCGAGGCCGGGTCGCCGGGGGGCCGCGCGGGCCGGGGGGCCACGGGCAGCATGCCCAGGCCCTTGTGGGGCTCGGTGGGGCCGGCCGTGGCGTTCTCGGGCGCCTCCATGCAGAGCGCGTGCGGGTCGTTGCGCGTGGGCAGCCGGGCGCAGTCCAGCGAGTCGGGCCAGCCGAAGTGGAACTGCTCCATGATGGGCGCGCAGCGGAGGCGCGCCTGCTCGCACATGGGCCGGCAGGCGGGGATGGGCGTCGACACCTGGTCAGTGCACATGGGCGCGTACAGCGAGCACAGGAAGAAGCGCAGGTGGCTGTGGCAGCCGTACTGCACGAGCGGCGCGAACTCCGCCAGCTCCGCGGCCGCCTCGCCCTGCGACGTGTGGCCCAGCAGGTTGGGCATGCGGGTCAGGTTGTAGCCGATGCCGCGGCACATGGGGATCTCCACCGCCTGGCAGGGCGCCGGCCCGCGCCCGCGCTCCGGGTCGAAGCGGCCGATCTCCAGCGCCGCGCCGCCCGCCGCCAGCAGCTGCCACAGCAGCAGCAGCAGCGCCCGGCCGAGCGGCGGCACGGCCATCCCGGGCGGCCCCGGCCGAGGGCGGGAGGGCGGCCCCGGCTCACTCGGGCCGCGCCGTCCGGCGGCCCCGTGCCCGCCCGCCACGTCGCGGGGCGCGGGCCATCGCCGAGCCGCCCGCGTGCGTCCGGGCGCCCCGGCAGCGCGCAGGGAAGCCGCCTGAGGGAGAGGAGGCGCCGAGCCCGCCGAGCCGCCACCGCCACTGCCAGCCGAGCGGCCGCGGAGCCAGAGCCGGCGCCTCCTCCCCGGGCGGCCGCTACAAGCCTCGGGGCGGGGCGCCGGGCGGACACGCCCAGGGGCGGGCCCTCCGCGCGCCGGGCACGCCCCCCCCCGCCGGGCTTTAAAGGCGCCGCGTCTGGCCGCGTGCTCACACTCGGTGCTTCCCCTTCCCGTGTTACCCTGCTCTCCCCGCGACAAGACAGCTGCAAGGTTCCCCTGCCCTTCATCCCGGGTCGCCTCTCCTTACCTCAGGCGGCAGACCATTCCTGAGGCCTCCACGCGTTGGGAAACCTGGGCCTTGGACTCAGTGACAGCTCAAGTGCAGCCTGCGACTTGTCTCCCCTCCCTCAGCCTCAGTTTCCTTTCCTGCAACACAGGCAGAGGATCCTATGAAAACGAGCAACTCATTTGTTGCACGTGTCCGGCTTATGGGTCACACTGCGCCCATGACCTCCTCGTCTCCATCCAGGTGGGGAGCCTGAGTCTCAGAGAGGAGGGACATACCCAGGAACCCGGAGATACTAAGTGCAGCATCTATGACTGTCTGACTCCGGACCCCACACTCGAACTTGCAACCTGGGGCGTGGGGGGGCGGCTCAAGGATCACTTACTTTACCGACTGAGCCAGCCAGGCGTCCCCCACCCCTATACTGGGTCCATAAGGTTGCTGTACTCCTCTGGGCTGGGGTGGGGGGACACGTGGTGTCACCCTGTCTCCTGGGAGGCTCTGCTCTCTAGCTTGCCACCTTGACACTTTTGGGAGGGACTTAAGAAGTGCTTCCCTCAAAAGTAAAGGACTTGACTTTTTATTTATTTATTCTTTAAGATTTTTTTTTTAAAGATTTTATTTATTTATTTGACAGACAAAGATCACAAATAGGCAGAGAGGCAGGTAGAGAGAGAGGAAGGGAAGCAGGCTCCCTGTTGAGCAGAGAGCCCGATGCGGGGCTCCATCCCAGGACCCTGAGATCATGACCTGAGCTGAAGGCAGAGGCTTTAACCCACTGAGCCACCCAGGCGCCCCAAGATTTTTTTTTTTAAGTAATCTCTATACCCAAGGTGGGGCTCAAACTCACAACACCGAGATCTAGAGCTGCAGGTTCCTCCGGTTCCGCCAGCCAAGTGCCCCAGGACCTGGCTTTTTAAATCAGAGTGTAATTGACACACAACATTAGTTTCAGGTGTACAATGTGATTTGCTATGTGTCTACACTGGGAACTAATCACCAGTTAAGTCTCCTCACCATCTGTCACCGTACATAGTTACACATTTGTTTTCACTTGCGATGAGGACTTCCAGGATTCAGTGTTCTAACAGCTCTCAGGCGTACGATACAGCGTTACGGACTGTAGTCACCAGCATGTACGTGGCATCCCCCGGACTTACTTATCACTGGAAGTTTGTACCTCTTGGCCCCCTTCACCCATTTTGCGTACCCCCCCCCAATCTGCTCTCTGTATCTGTGAGTTTTGTCTTTAGATTGCACATATAAGTGAAATCATATAGTATTTGGAGGACTTCATTTTAACATCCCAGTGTCCCCCCACTTTCTTCACCCCTCCCCTGAGCTCCCTGGGCACAGGATTTTCCCTGGGAGTCCTCTCTGGCTGGAGAACCTGTAGCCACCGCCCCAGCAGCACCTGGAGAGCCCCATTCTCCTTCCTGTGCCTCAGAGCAGAGGGGCCTGCACAGCGACGTCCCACAGATACCTTAGGAGTCCACCTCATACTGTCCTCACGTCTGCTTTCACCCCTGGAAGGGGTACCTGGAAGACCCAGACTCAGACCCCAGCGGTCCAGCCGCCCTAGCTGCTGCTCAGGGCACCTAAAGCACAAGGGGCCACAGGAGAGGCCTGCCCCGCAGGGGGTCTAAGAGATGGACCCAGAACCTCCCACGAGCTACACAGACCCTGGGCCAGGCACTTCCCACCGTGACCATTCTAACCCCTCATAATGGTCCTGCTAAGGGATTCTGTCATCATTTTATAGAAGAGAAATTGAGGTGTGGAAAACTCAAGATATTTGCTTGGATTACACAGCTCGACAGGGGCAGGGTGGGCCTTCAGGCTCTACCCCTGCGTGGGGCTGCCTGTCACCACCAGAGGAAGGGCACCTGCCCCGTGGTGGGGACTCAGGATGGCGTGCTCAGCAGCACCCCCCCCAACTCCCGCCACCCAGAGCCACGCTGAGGCAGGGAAGGGAGAAGGAAAGGCGCATGCTCTGCCTGCACCCAGCCTGTGCTCTCCGAGGGGCCCCACAAGACTGGGCGTCCTTGGAGATGCGTGCAGCTCGGTGCCCAGCGCCTCGTTCACACCCGGCCCACCGGAGCCGTGAGAAGTACGGCTGCGAGATCCTGAACTTCCCAAGGATGTCGGGTATCTTGCCAAAAAAGATCCGGCGTTGACCGCCTGGTCGGGATAAGAGTTTTCCAGAATTCCAGCAGTGGTTCCCCATTGCCCGCGGTGAAGCTTGTGCTCCTGGGGAGGACAGCGGATGGCCTTTGAGCCATAGCCCCCATCTCCTGCCATGACTCCCCCGGCCCATGGGAGCACCATGCCAAGTCCCTCGGTCACGCTGCCAATCTCCGGCACCCAGGAGGCTCTTGTCTTCTGCTCTGCTGGGCACACCAGTCTCCAGCATCACCTCTCAAGGGACCCCCCCACCCCCAGCTCTCCTGGAGGCTCTGCTCCGGCGGCCCAGGGTCCTTGCCTACCCACTGTCCCCTCCCTGTGACTCAGGAGCTGTTAGCCCTCCCTCCGCCCCTGCTGCACTCCAATACCAGCAGCAGCTCAGGGGCCACGGGGACATTTTATTTCTCTGTGCGCCTGGCGCCCCGGGGAGGCAGAGGTGTATGAATGACAGCAGGGCCCCATGTCAGGGTGCCGGTAGGAAGTGGGGGCTCCAGCCGGGTGCGGAGGCCGAGGACGGTGAAGGCTTCCCACTACCCGCATGGGACCCAAGAGCAGGGGGTTTTGTGCCCCTGCCCCCCAGCAGGGCGGAGAGGAGGCTGGGGGCCCTTCTTCTGTCAGCGGCAATGGGGAGGGCGCTCCTGGGGTGGGGTAGGGGGGAATGCCAGGCCTGTCACCATGGCAACAGTTGCTCCTGGGAAGCCAGAGGTGGGGGCTGTGGAAGGGCCCCTCCCCCCATGCAGATGCTGCCTGGAGAGAAGAGGCCTCTTGGGCCGCCTGCCCACCCACCCGGCTTTGTCACTCGATCTCTGTCTTTACAAAGGCGGAACAATACCCCAGGGCTCGCTGAAAGGGAGACGATAGACGGAGGAGGGGGATTACCATCGGTGCCCACCCCCTACTCCTGCTTCGCTGGGCAGAGGGGCCGGAGACAGAGGCGAGGTGGTCATGAACCCCTCTCGGCTCCTTCCTGGGGGTCCTGCACATATGGGAAGGGATACCCCTTCCTCCTCATCCCCCCACCCCTCGTCTCCCTGGCTTGCACTCCCGGAGGCCCTTCTCACCACGTCCTCCCTATGGCCCCCTGTCTCCCCCACTGGACACTTGCTGCCCTGCCCTCACTTGGCTCTGATCCTGCGTTCTCCAGGACGACCGCCCGCCTGATGGCCCTGGTGCCCGCCTCTGTGCCCTGTGGCCACCACACCTGTGCCTATCTTCCCCACAAGCCTGGAAGCACCTGGGTGTCTTGGGTGCCCGGCCCGGAGCGAGTTCCCATAAATGTTTGTTGAATGAAAAACATGCTGCGATGAGAAGGCGCCCCTAGATCTTTCTGGAAGAGCCTGAATGCTGGTGGGGCCTATGGCTGGGGAAGTGTAGCGATTGGAGCCTGAGCACGGTGTTTGTGTGAGGAAGCAGGCTCAGCCCACCCCTTCTCCAGGTGCCCAGGACGCCCGGCAGGAGGGCTGCTGCTGGTGCGGGCAGTGGGGGTCGGGGGTGGGGGGGGGCTGGAAGGTCCACAGATGCACCTGCTTCTGAGCGCTGGGACTGGGCGGCAGGGGTGAGGTAGGCGCACGCATCTGCAGGGACACTCAGGGGCCTGCCCGGTCATTCCTGTGTGTGCACACACCCCTGTGCACAGGGCAGGGCTGGCTGACATGCTTGCCGGGGCTCTGGGAATGGGGGAATGGGCCCACCTCCCCAAAACTTGAACCCTGGTTCTGAGTCCGTTTCCCTTGATGACGATGTCAAGGGCTGGACGAGACTGTTCCATTCTTCATAAAGAAGAATTTTTAAAATTCCTTGTTAGGGCATTCCCCATGTTCACCACTCATCAGCATTAGAGGTGAGGAGAGAAGCAAGACGATCATGTCCGCCTTCTCCTTACAAACCCGGCCCTCGGGGAATGGGCATTAAGAGTTCAGGTGCCTCTTGGGCCCCTGGGGGCTCAGTCATTAAGCGTCTGCCTTTGGCTAAGGTCATGATCCCAGGGTCATGGCATTGAGTCCCGCATCGGGTTCCCTGCTCAGCGGGGAGCCAGCCTCTCCCTCTCCCTCTGCTGCTCCTCCTGCTTGTGACAAGCCCCCTTCTCTCTCTGCTAGATAAATAAAATCAAGGAAAAATAAAAGGAGTTCAGACACCTCTTTTGATACTTTCTCCTAGACTTTGCAAACACATACATGCTCAGTGCAGTCTTTATTGCTTTTTATTTTACTAAAATGGAATTAATATTGTACTTTTCTTTTTTGAGGGAGAAAGAATGGGAGAGTGGAGTGGGAGGGAGGGGCAGAGGGAGAGAGGGAGAATCTCAAGCAGGCTCCACGCTCAGTGCGGAGCCCACCAGGGGGTTCGATCTCATGACCCTGAGATCATGACCTGA